ATAAAGCGAACGGAATTCAAATATTAAAAAATGATGCAATACGACACCCCCCGCACGCGTCGCCCGCCAGCCCGCTACCGCGGACGGGAGGGGTATCGTGACATCTGTCGGGAGAAAAAGGCAAAATTTTTACTTGTTACTTTGATAAAATAATATGTCCATGGTAGTTAGGGGCAACTGTTGTGCATTATTAAGTAGAAAATTATGAGAGAGGCTAGTGGCACAAAAACAAATAGGAAAAACGAAAACAAATCTATCTCTTGGGAACCATATATTTTTTAGGACAAAAAGTAGCTTATGTATTACTCCAGACTATAATCTATCTCTGTGCCAAAGTTCATCCAGAGCCGTTCAGCCGTTCTCGCGTGAAAGAGTAACAAACATCCATACTAACAAAATTTCACATTTATAATATTTATATACAGATATAGCAGTATCTTATAAAAAAAGTTCCATGAAAGAAGAACGATAGAAGAATTATTTACCTATATTACATGTACAGTGATGGGTTGTGATTAAGAATATCGTAGTTAATTTGGCTATCATTATGTTATGTAGCGTCTCTTTAACCCTGAAATATATGAAATTAAAAATTATAGTCTTTTTGTGGTATATTTTTAGAAATCATTGTGCTTTAATTAAAGCAACAAATTAAATTATTTTTCACTAGCGACTCACCCATGCTTCGTTTGGGTTCGTCCCTAGCTTGCGTCTCAATACAAACTTTCATCCCCATTTTCACCCCCTTAAGGAATGATTTCTGGGATAAAAAGTATCTTGTCCTTCCCAGTATCTCAATCTATCTTTTTACCAAATTTCATCTAAATTAGTTCAGTACATCCAGAGATTGCCCCCTACAACCTCACAAACTCACAAACTTTACATCTTTATAATATTAGTATAGATTAATGTTACCTGCATTTATAGGAATGATTACATTTAAAACAAAACTGTTCTTGATTTGAATATAATATAATTAGCAGAAAATAAATATCCCACATGATTTTTTTACTTCACAGTGAACAAAACTTATTGCCAAACATATTCTTCCTGTACGATCACATTTGTAAATACAAAATGATCTAATTAGTATAAGGAATTCAATTTACTTTTCAAATATGCCTTTACATAAAACTACTAGGATTGCCTGTGGCTCCGCCCGCGTTCAGGTGACCAAAAACCAAATTCTTTGGTTTTACATATTAGTATACAGTACATTGTAGTTTTTGTTTTTTTTTCTGAGAAATGAGACATTTTCCCGTGGTAAAAAGTATCCTATATGTTGACCCGGATAACCAGCTATCACCATACCAAATTTAATCAAAATGCCTCGTGATTTTTCTGTGATGCGGTAACAGACAGACAGACAGACGGACAAAAATTCTAAAAACTATAGATTCGGCTTCTGAATCGATAAAAAGGTCTATTTTGATAATATTTTCAAAAAAATATTTAATGTACAGATTCGGCTTAGTTACAGTTTTATTATATGTATAGATTGTAACATTCAGTTATTTAATGTGCCAGTTTGTGGATTTGACAGTGGATTTTTGATGTGTCAAGTGGACAGTCGGTGAATAAGTGATTCGCATTCTAATATAAATGTAAAATGAGTATTCAGAAAAAGTTAATTGCCAAATATTTGTTTTCCTGGAAAATTCTTCTGAGCTGTTTTACTATAATAATATGACAAATAATATATGTACCTATAGTACTTAGGACTTGAAATTAATTTCTAATATAATTCAAAAAATGTTCAATTGTTAGACTACAATTCAAGTCCTTCAAGCCCAATCCCAGTATGGAGTAGAAGTGTGTAGGCATGAGTTCGATATATCAAAACGTAACTAATAACCGATATGAGTTAGATAACATATCGTATCGATATCACGTTTTCACATAACTGATATTTCAAAAACTATGATATCGAAACAATAACTCGAATCGCGCGACAACTCGATACGGAAACCGAACGAAATGTTACACAGTTATCAAAACGAAAACCCTGCCAAAACGAACTACGATGGTAACGAAAGCCGAACGGTATCATATTCGCTTCTTCTCTTTCTTGTAAAGCGATGTAAACGAGATGAAGCATTTTTGTTTTATTTGTGCAATGCTTAGGCAATTACAAGTTATGGCATTTCGCTCTTATGTTAGGTAGAAATAAAGGTTAATTTCAATTGTTACGATTACGTTTAGAATGTTTTGATATTTAGTCGGTTATTCCGCGAAAGATTCACACGGCAAATTGTAATTTAGTTTTATAGCAATACGGCTCAATTTGAATTGACCATACATTTAGGTAATAATGATGTTTAGTTCTTGAAGAATATTATGGTGCATTTTGACGTGTAATTTGTTGGCATAGTTTTTTGGATTTAGTAAACAACAACAACAGTCGTTTCGGAAATGAAACATTGCGTTTATGTGTCGTGCATAATTATGATTATAGTGTAAAAAAGATTCTTGTACATAAATAATTTAATGATAGTTTTAGTGCCTCGTTTTGAAGACAAATCTGTCAATAGTGAAATTAATTAGTTTTAAGGTTTCTAGCTAGTTTCAAAGTATTTTATAAGAACTTTAGATAGACACTAGATACTTATTTTTATAACAATGTCGCGAAAGGCAAGTGAGATTTTGATAAAAAAGACAATGCTGTTTCTATGGCTGTGTGTAAATATTTTATTGCATTCTTAAATGCAAATCTGTCTTTATCCAAAAAGAAGTAGATTTAAAATTAAACATCTGTAAATATTTATAAATCATAAATCATTGTATATATGGCGATTTTTAAATGAGCCAGAAAAGTATCTTTATTTTTTTACTTACAAAGCTTTTCTGATAGTCCTAAGCCTAGTAAAGCATGAAGGGAAATCGCCATAACTAACTAAAACATCGCAGACTGAGACATTCTTTAAAATTTATTAGGTTAAAATAACTCGTTAAATGTGCACGTGTTTTCGTTTGTCGTTAGTTACATAACTGTGTAACCAACTACGTTAGCAAACCATAATAATGATATCGATATCTAAAAACCGTTTTCGATATCGATATGAAAACTATATAACGGTTACATATCGGTTTTCGTCAAAAAACGAAAACGCCCATCTCAAGAAGTGTGTATTGACGATACAAAATATCTTTGTAAACAAAAGATACGTTCATTATTAAAAAAAATACTTATCCTGCACTGTCTTTTAGCAAAAGTACTCGGGAATATTACATATTATGTAAATTCTCGAAATGGAAATGAAACATGACTGACACTGTACTAACTACTAAGAGATACCATCTACGAAAAATAAGTAGGTAGATAAATAATAAGAGAATAACTCACTAAACAAATAGAATGTAGCCGTGTCTCATAAACAAATATTGCCTATATTAGGGAGTGTAATGTTTACATCCTGAAAATAATAGATTCCTATAATAATAAACATATTATCTAAAAGTATAATTACTTTAATAGTTAATTACTCATACAATTTATAACTTACATAAATATTTAAGTACTTACATATTTATGTGAAATATAATTATTATTAAATATGTGACTGAACTCAATGTTCAAATAGAGCTTGTATGGAACTAATTCATCTATTTTATTTGTCATCCATGGTTCAAATAATAAATTGTTATCAAGCAATCTTCGACCATTTTTAACATTTTCGTCTTTTTCCATTCATATTCACTATAATCAATAATGTGGATTATACAACAGTTAGTCTATTATTAATATAAATATACTAATAAAACGAGAGGCGTTTGAAACTATTATGAATATTTATTAGATATATACCTACAAGTTTACTTGAAAAGTATTTTTTTTTGTCATCCATGAAGTTTACAATAAAAAGTACTTCCCCGTCGGTCGTCCTCGACACCACAGATAATATATTATTATACAGACTAGAGTCCTAGACTAGACATTAAAGTGCTTCGATCACAGATAATACACCATATTATTAACATGAATTCTAAAGACTATAGATTCGGCCTCTGTATCGATTCTATCAATGACATTTCAATAAGATTTTCCAAAAAAAATTTAATGAACAGATTCGACTCAGAATTTATTATATCTTCAATCAACAATACTACTGTTGAGGCTCCAACGAATTTAATGTAATTTAGTATACAGGAGGTTTTGGGGGCGATAAATCGATCTAGATTAGTATTATGTCTGAGAATACGCGTGTTTTCGAGTTTTCATGCAGTTTTCTTTTGCTATTCCACGCAAAATATGGTCGGTAATTTGCACGTTCGGGAATAAGCATCGTGGTCAAGCGGCCAAGGTGCAAGATCCACAATCACAGATGTCCAGATTCGAATCCCGGTCGGATACAAAGGTATAATTTTTTTTGTTTTTTTTTGTATTTATTCATATATTTAGTTTTTTTTTTAAAGAAAATTGTATTTTTTAACCAAAAACTTCGAACGAAGCTCGGTGGCCCAGGCACTAATAATTAATTGAGGATCTGATTTTAATCTTGAAACTTATTAAAATTAAATATATTAAAAAATAAGGGAAAATTTATTGAAGTTTGAAAGCATTGGGCAAAATTTATTACTATCAAAAATGGTTTTTAAATTAAAAATGATATGATAATATTTTTAGTTTAAGTTTATTTCAAAACTGAAAACGCTTAGTGAAATCTAAACGCTTAGTGAAACTCCTATGAAGGTCACTTCAACAGATTACAAAAGTATTTTAAACCCAAACCCGATCAAATGAATGACCTGGTTTTCTTTTATGTTGAAGGATTAAAACGGTTCATGTTAATGGCAGACTCCATGAATTTTGAGTAATGTCCTTTTTGACCAACTTAAAAAAAGGATTCGGTAGTCAATTCATCTTTATTTTTGTGGGTAAGTTACGCGTGCACATTAGTGATATATTATTAAAATTCCTCCTTAAAAGAAAAACAACAAAATAGTTGAAAATATATTTCATTTATTAAAAAATAAAACGCAAACAAAATCCATAGGCACTATGTTGCAGAAGGCAAAGTGCCTACCGACTTCATGAGGTGGTAGCAATGGGGAAGTCTGCTTCTATGGCCGATCTTCTGCAGCGTGGCGGCCGCCTGCGCCAGCATGCCGGCGCGCTCGCCCGGCGCCGCCAGCACGGCGGCCGGCAGGTGCTTGCACGCCATGTACAGCGCTACTGCGCGCTCGCCGTCACCCCCTCCGCCTTCTAGTGTTCGTTCTGTTCAATATTCAAATATAACCTTATTGCTGATTTTGTTATCCATACTATCCATACTAATATTATAAATATGAAAGTGTCTTTTCTTTGTTTGTCTTTCTTTCATGTCGAAACGGAATGACGGAATGGCGTGATTTTTGGTGTGAAGATAGTTGGAGAGCTGGAGAGTGACATAGGCTTTTATGGCGATTTTATTAGGCTTTAATTAATACTTTTTATCGCGGGAGATCATCTCGTTCCCACGGGAAAACACGTTATAATACAATCCAAAAAAATATTTCTTTACAGAATTACTTGAAACTTGGTATTAATATAAATAAATAATACGTGTTTTAGCCTTTTTCGAAATTCATCCTATAAGTGGGTAAAATAGTGGATCAAAGTTTGTAGGAAACCTTTTTAGAGATCTTTTTTGTAGTTTTAGCGCGAGCGAAGCCGCGGGTTCTGCTAGTAATATAATAATTGGGTCCCCCCCGACCGATTTGACCACTGCGGCTAATCTCACTGAGACTAACCACTTGTGCAGGAAATATTATAGCGCACAAACACAAGTGCACTCTCTATTACTGTCATGCTCATACTCCGGTGGGACGATTATTCGACGACGATTTACGGCGCAAGACCGACGGTTTTACGTACTCTCCAAGGCACCGCAAACTTCTCAACTCCGCGCTGTTACTGAGAATTCCTTCACAGAAATATTCAATAACTGAACTTGGTCCGACCCGGGACCCGAACCCAGAAACTCCAGACCTGCGGCCGTATATGCTAACCACTAGACCACTGAGGCAGTTGTTATAATATAATATGTTAACAATCCGCAATATTATGTAGCAATATATTTCTATGTAAAAAATCTACACTAATATGATATAGTTTGTTAAATGTAGGGTGTAATACTGAGACTACCGATTCTTTTTTTTACTAATAGATAGCTACATTATCGGCGAGTGCCGGTTTTTATTGTAATACCCAAATAATTACAAAAATAAAACCGTTGACAGTGGTCGTCGAATCTGCGCAACGCCTTAGAGATCATAGACATATTATTTTTTATCTGTCCTCTTATGTTCGACCGCTATCAATTATATTAAGTAAAATCTTATTAGCATAGGATTTAGCAATGGACTCCTTTCGCCATCATCTAGCCTTAGTGGAGACAAAAATAGCAATAAAAATATAAAAATTAAATGTGGCACTCGGAAACTGCCGCGGTAAAGCTATTGCATAGCATTTTTTATCAACTTATGCGATTATAATTATTTATTTATGTTATTAATGCAGTATTTTTTTTCCTTGACTTTCTTCATTAATAAATGCACTTTGTTTATTCATATTTAAAACACTTTGTACATAAATTATACGAGTACAGATATTCACTGTTGTACATAGATGATAAATACCTATACACCTATATACTTTCTCACAAACAGCTGATTACGGTAGTTTTCCAATACAACCAATGCCACCTAAAGGCGGGTTGCTGAACTAAAGAGACAAGCGTGATATTTCAAAAAGTCATTAAAAGTTCTGGTATTTATCGATAGATGGAAAAACTAAAAAGTATCACCGCTGTGCCGGTCGGAGTGGGGGGTGTCAGGTATTTTTCGTTACGGAATTTCTGGATTCGATCCCCACGCTCAAGGCCCGCGATAGAAGCTATGCAATAGCTTAATAAAAAAATCTCACATTTGAGGTTTCACTTTGAAAGTTAAAGTAATTAATACCTTTTCCACATATAATAGACGAGCGATTCAGTCGCGGACGTAAACTGCCGTCTAACAGCTGCTGCGTGCGCCGCGGCGCCGCGCCCGCCATCATGCGGCACACCGCCGAGTGCAGGAACACGCGAGACGTCACCCACTGGAACAAACTTGTTTATGTGCTTATATCTATACTAATATTATGAACAGGTAATTTGTGAGTTTGTATATATTTTTGTGATGTTTGTGGATTTGTGAGGTAGTTTAGTGAACCGATTTAAATGAAATTTGGTAAGAAGATAGTATGAGACCTTGGGAAGCACATGGGATACTTTTTACCCCAAAAATCATCCTTTAAGGGGGTGAAAATGGGGACGAAAGTTTTTATGGGGAATCTAGCTAGGGATGAACCCGAGCGAAGCGAAATGTGAAATAAATGTGGTCGCTTAAAAAGGTATGTCGTAATAAGCAATGTCGTAAAAAGCAATATTTTTAATAAGGCGGTCACATAGCATTCAGCCGGGACCTTTAATTTTGGTCAATATAACCGATATGTTGTTCTAAACGATGTCGTCATAAACAGTTTTAGCTGTAATTTAAAATAATACTATGTGTTTATATATTCGGTAATTTTTGAGCATCTAACCGGATATTCCACCGAATAGGAACATTTGAGATTAATATAAAGAGCGTGCATAAAGAATGACAAGATTATAAATGGTATCATGATTTGAAGGTTTTATATAGTTTTATATATAGGAGGTTTATACTTGTATTAGATTTTTTCCATATTGCAATGATAGAACTTATAAAAACTAACATGGACATCAAAAATAATATTGAATAGTTATTCGTATAATATACATTGACAATAACTAAAATATTATTCTTTACTAGCATTGCCCGCGGCTCCGCCCGCGTTCAGATGATCAAAAACCAAATTCTTAGGTTTTACATATTAGTATACTCTTACAATGCAGTTTTTGTTTTTTTTTTTCTCAAGAATGAGATGTTTTCCCGCGGTAAAAACTATCCTATATGTTGACCCGGATAACCAGCTATCATCATACCAAATTTCATTAAAATCTGTCCAGTGGTTTTCTCATGTTGCGGTAACAGACAGACAGACAGACAAAAATTATTTAAACTATAGATTCGGACTCTGTATCGATAAATAATGTCTATTTGAATTACATTTTCCAAAAAATATTTAATGTACAGAAGATTCGACTTAGTTACAATTTTATTATATTTACAGATAAAAACATTGTTACACCTAATAATATAATCTCAGATCAACAGCTAATTTGCGAACACTTTAATGACTTCTTTTCTAACATTGGCAAATTACTAGCTCATAACATTCCCCAAAAATATCATAATAATACAATTTACACTCTACCAAAAGGACATAACACATGCCATAATCTAAGTGAATTTACTCCAGTTACTCCTGAAGAAATTGAAAATATTATTAATAACCTAAATTCTAATACATCGACAGGCTTTGACGAGGTAAGTACGAGGGTAATAAAATTCATTAAACCTCTTATTCTAAGTAACCTAACTAAATGCATTAATCAGTGCCTTAAAAAAGGTACCTTCCCAGATAGCTTAAAAATAGCTAAAGTTACCCCCATATTCAAATCTGGCTCCAAAACTGATCCTGGAAACTATCGTCCTATATCAGTTTTACCCATATTATCTAAAGTATTTGAAAAGGTGATATACAATCGTATTGAATCTTATCTTGGTGCCACAAAAATTTTATACGACAAACAATATGGTTTTCGACCAAAATCTAGCACACTGTCAGCTACAATCGACCTGATAATAAAAATTAAAATAAACATTGACAAAAAATTAATTGCTCTAGGTATTTTGATAGATTTAAAAAAAGCCTTTGATACAGTTAATCATGAAATACTTCTGATGAAATTGATGAGCATAGGTATCACTGGTAATGCCCATAAAATGCTTAAATCATATCTTGAAAATCGATATCAAATAGTTAAAATAAAGAAGTCAGAGTAGACCTTCTTTAATTATATGTGGAGTCCCACAGGGATCGGTTTTGGGACCTCTTTTGTTTCTTATTTATATAAATAATATACAAGAAATCGGTTTATATGGAGATATTACCCTCTACGCTGATGATACCAGTTTATTTTACTTTGGTAATTCTATTGATACTATTATAGATAAAGCACAGAATGACCTTAATATACTCAATGAATGTTTTCAATATAATTTATTAACAATAAATACTAAAAAAACGAACTATATAATATTTTCGGCCAAAAATAAAAGAATTAATAATTACCAACCTCTTACAATAAATAATGAAATAATTAATAAAGTTAAAAGTGAAAAATATCTTGGCCTAACCCTTGATAGTCATCTCACATGGAAGCCACATCTAGAAAAGTTACGTGGAAAGTTATTATCTCTCATGGGATCCGTCAGAAATTTTGTTAGATGTCTTCCGAAACAAGTCAAATATATAATATACAATACATTAGCGAAACCTCATATTGATTACCTCATCGAAGTCTGGGGCTCAGCCGCTAAATCTAATATAAAACCCATTCAAGTTGCACAAAATAAACTCATTAAAATTTTATTTCAATATGATTTCTTAACATCATCAGAGAAAATCTATAAAGAAACGAATATATTGAGCGTGACGCAAACATATACCTATAATACGTGTATGCTAATAAGAAAAGTGCTGAGCGGAGATATACATTCTAACATAAAATTCACTAAAAAACAACAAATTCAAAAGCATTTCCTAAGAAATGCCAACAACTTAGTCTTATACGCCCCGAGAACTAACTACGGAAAAAGGAGTCTAATGTTTGAAGGAGCACAGTTATATAATAAATTACCAACAGATATAAAGGAATCAAAAACAATTACAACATTTAAAAACATGCTAAAATATTATATCTTAAAAAACTTAAAGTAAAATGTAGTCTTTGCCATTCCCATGATTTCTTTATTCTTAGCGCTTTGCTCTAACTGTATTGTTAACTTGTTTGTAGTTTTAAGTATTATTTTTAAGGACTATGTATTTGTCACAAATGTAACTTGTACGTACTCGCATTTAGTGAATGTTATAATATTTAATGTGTTTTCTCATGTAAGTGAATTTGTTATTCTTAATGAGTAATAAAGATTCTAAACAGAAACAGAAAATCTTTGCATAATTTTTTTTTTCTAATAATTGGAACACAAAACCTCAATCAAGTCGAATGGTATCGTCATAAACTACTTTCTCCAAAGAATAATCCTTAATTGCATTCCCTCAGTCCAAGTACAGTAAATTATTTTTAACAACTGACACGTCATAGTCACTTTAGTTCTTATTCGTTCAAACAACCAATATTTGCTGTACTTTACAGTAGAATATACATTATACATATATAAATAAAGTATTTTTTCCGCTTTATTAAAATGTGTACTCAAAAACAACTTACGACGCTACATAGACAATAACTAACAGGTTCCTTTATATAAACCCACAACATTTTTTAGTGCACGTCGTTTTCTCCAGTACATTCGGGGGTACATTTTAAACACCGTCTATAGAGCTCGTATTTTCTTTTTGTATTTTTATATGTCCTTCTGTTGGAGATCCTTAATAAATAAATAAAATAAATAAACATACAGACAGATAGACTTACAGGCAAGGTCTGCGAGAGTCGCCGCAGCGAGTGCAGGTCGCGCTGGAAGGCGCGCAGGTCGCGCGCGCCCGCCGCGCCGCCGCGCGCCTCCCACGCGCCCGCGCGCACCTCCAGCACCCAGTCGCAGCACAGCACTTGCATTAACTGGGAAAGAGAAACATTCTATTTCTTGTTATACTTCATTATAAACATCACAAATCTGGTTTTCCATATACAGTGCCATAAACTTATGTGGCCCGATGACGGCTTCACTGTTGTTGAATTTTTATGTGCTAAATAGAATTTAAGGCACGGTAGCCCAGTGGTGACGCATTGGCTCGGGAAACCGAGTGAAGCGAGTTCGAATACCGGGTTTTGCACCTCTGATATTTTCATGTGCGAATCATTTCAGACATAATTACCACTCGTCTTAACGGTGAAGAAAAACATCTTGAGGAAACCTGCATGTCCGAGAGAACCTAGCAAGTTTTCAAAAGACAGAAGTTCGCCGACCCACACTTGGCCAGCGTGGTGGTATGACCTGATTCCCCTCATACCGAAAATTAATTAGTTAAAACGGGCTGGATACAAATTGAATTTCCGCAGTTTTAGGGTAAAATAATAACAGGTCAAGTGCACAAGGAATAATCGAAATGTTAATTTTCTGTTTTAGTGATTATTTTTTAACGTGATGTAACAAGGAATATCAATCAAAACACATTTTTAATAAATTATATTTTAATATTATATGTTTTATGATCATACAGATAATCGTCTAGGTAATAAAGAGGCTGGGTTTCAATACAACACTTGACAACAAAATGACATTGCAAAATGGCGATTCGTAGTCTTGGCCACAGAGTCTGATATGTTTGTTGCACTATACATATATTTAATCATGGTCATGATTATCATGACATAAAGTCTCGGGAAATATATTAAATCTCCTAAACAAAGGAAAATAAAAAAAAAATGCTAAATCAAATTTCTATTCCTTTATCTGCACTAATATTATACAGAGTATGTGTGTAATTTTGTAAAAAGATTATGAGGACTATTACATTATGACCGTAATATTTCAATTTTATGCCCATCTTTGACGTTCTTATTCAGAGAAACTGAAACTCTTCGACAATTTTGACTGATGATCATCCGGAGATTTTTTGAAATGTTTTAACTTTTTTTAATGTTTTTTACTTTTTTTTCGTATTCTTCTCAGCAAACCCTTTCACTTGATATCCATATAGACCAGGGCTGAAGCCTTTGGAAATGGTAAAAAGTGAAAAAAAAAATAATAGTAGGATGAATCTCATTGGAAAAGGAAAAGAATATAACAAAAATGAAAGGAAAAATAATTTACGGGCGATCTGAGATCGGGAAGTGGGAAGAGGTGAGTTTTTAAGGGTAAAAACGGTTTATCTTGATTTCCGGTAAAACCACAAGTCCTATGGAAAAAAGTTAAATGGCAAAGTTGTAGGTAATAAAAAGATCTACACCTTTCGCATTTACACTTTTTTCACATAACCTTAATGCAAAAAGTATGGACCAGACCATCCTAGCCCCTTTCCCCACTTCTCTATGAAATATCTTTTGATGGGCTAAAATTTTCCGTAGGTCACACAGGTATATAAGTTATCTTAAAATAGCAATAAATAGGCATCGACGCATATATTTTAAAGAAGATTCTACAACTTTCTCAAAACTTTGTAGATGTCTTATTAAATATTAATATTTATTTAACAAAATAAAATATTATTTGAGGCTATTTATATTTGAGAGAAAACTACAAGAGTTTTGCCGGAAATCGAAATAAACCGTTTTTTACCCTTAAAAACTCAGCCCCTCCAACTTTCCGACCTCAGATCGTCCGTTAATTATTTTTCCTTTCATTTTTGTTATATACTCTTCCTTTTCCAATGAGCTTCATTCTACTATAATTTTTTTTGGTTTCAAAAATTATTGACCCTGGTCTAATATCTTGGGGGTGCAAAAGAAACAGTCCGCCATATAAATTTATAGCTTATTTATAGCTAGCTTTAATTTGCTACCCATATCATATGGGTGGGTCACTATGAAAATAATAAATCGCCATTTTGTAACGTCCGTCCGTCGTATTGGATTAAACATGGTGGCATTTAAAAAATGTGCAGTCACGAGAGTCGAACGTGTGTCCCAAATTTTAGCTTAATCGGACGTTTGGAAGTGGGTCAAATTTAACGAATCAAATTTCTGTTTTGCCCCTCCCCTCCCCCCCCCCCCTGGACCAAAGGCTGGGTACGCCCATGGCGGCCTCGCTTTTCGCGAATTTTCATTATAGAATAAAAAAAAGCCAAAATTCAGAAGCAAGGTTTTAATAAAATGCGCGACGACACTTTTTCAAGCTCATGAATTGAAATACTATATCCAAATCTAAATCCTCTTCAAAATCTTAAAAACTATTAAAAATGTTCAGAATTAGCTGTAAATATATCCTTACAACATTAATATAATTAAGTAAAATTTATACCAGAATAAACGTCAGTTCAAAAGAAACGTAATTACATACTTTTTTTAAAATAAATGATTATAAAAACTTTACATAGAAGTAATTACAACTGCAGAAAATGCTAGAAACAGCGACGCGTCGGCGCTCGAACTCAATAACATAGAACGCCGTGTATCTTGTGATAGGCCTCATACATAGCACGTGGAAGAGATAAGTGACCAGAAAAAGAAAAGAGTTGAAGCGGGATCACTCAGATTTTACAGCTAGCGTGTTTTTGGGCTATTATAGTGTCGATTATATCAAAGACAGACTTAAATTATAAGTATTAATAAATAAACATTGAAAATAGAAAATAATAACAAAAAGGAAATTCTTACCAAATCCAAAATAAAAGATGTAAGTAAAATGGATGCTTTAGATGTAAGCAACTAAAGCGAGATTTGCCTCGTAGGAACATTGCACATTATGAAGTACAAGTGCAATGCAACTACAATGCACTCTCGCAATAGTTAATCTTCGAATAACTTTCCTTCGCAACTTAAAATCTACTGAAAATTATGAATAAAAGTAAAAAAAAGTACAACAGAAATAAACATATTAAATTTGTTAATTTATCATTTTTTCATGAATTAAGAACTTTACAGGTATAATGATATAGTATAAATGCTCGCTGAAAATATAATTTAAACTTACATATATCTTTTATACACATAGATATATACATCATTAACCTGGCTAAACACAAAAAATGGCATGATAGTGAACAACATAACAAAAAAGACAATCCACAACCGTACAGAAGTACTAGGAAGGCTAATGTCCAGGAGAGAGAGAAAGAAGATATTCATATATACATGGCGGTACTCACCAACATGAGCTGCGTAGGTTTGCGGCAGCAGTAGTACGCCAGCGAGTCTGCGAGCCGCGCCCCCGCGATGTCACACACCTGGAAACCATTTTCTTTTATAAAGAAACACTTCGACAAATCATATCTTTACTGAAATTATATAATAGACTGGTGACTCGCCCTCGCTTAGCTCGGGTCCGTCCCTACTTACGTTTTAACGTTTAGTATAGATTTATCAAAGATGAGATATTTTCCTGCAGTAAAAAGTATTCTATATGTTGATCGGATAACCAGATATCATCATACCAAACTCTATCCAGAGGTTTTTTCGTGATGTTTTCCCAGACAGACAAAAAATTTAAAAACTATAGATTTGGGCTCTGTGTCGATAATAATGACTATTTCAATAAGATTTTTCCAAAAAAAAAATTGTACAGATTCGACTCAGAATTTTATTATATGTATATATATGTTATTTTTGCATATTACTAGTAGCACAACAATGTCTTCCATCTGTGCGGAAGATATTACAGAACACAAAATCGATCCGACCGGTGCAAAACAATTCGCCAGACCGGCATTGGAATGTGTTTTACGGAGATGTAAGTCCGGCCATCTCCAGACTGCTCCTGTGGAGCTCGTGTGAAGCCCCCAGACTATTTTGGCCCAACCCGAGTCTCGAATCCAAAACCTCACGATATGGATCCGTACATGCTAGCCCCTAGAATAACAAGGCATCGCATCCTTACTAATATTATAAGTTACCATTATATTCATAAGAATACTATGAAATAATTTTCACATAAATGGTAGATAATTAATAATCTATATAGATGAATAAAATCGTCTGTTTGTAATGTCAAAATAACAGCTTTTTACTAAATGCACATGAAATTATAAATACGGTACTTAAGAGAAAAACAAAAAAAAACGTATGACTATCTGTTTGTTCCGGCTGATATCCGAAACGGCTGGATTGATTTTCACTGGCAGATAGCTAATGATATAAGGAATAGCTCAGGTAAAACTATGTTTTCCGATTTTTTTACGTATTTAGTCTATCCCGTGACCATGATTGGTAAGGATTTGAAACGTCGGAAATCAAAAATCTAAATTAATCAGCGAAAAAACCCGGAAATATATTTTTATTTTATAATGTTAAATATTCGCGTAAATCTAAGAAAGTATTTTCCAAGTAGCTTAGGCTACTTTTATTTTATAATAAAAATATCTAATAAAATAAAATTAGCCAAATTAAAGCTCAAAAAAAAACGGACGCACCCGAGCGAATCGAAGCGAAGGTAAATCGGTAGTAAATAATACATAGTTACCTTAAGTATAGTTTCGGATGTCCTCTCGACAGAACGCTCGTCCCCGCACTGCGCCAGACTGAGCAGGCCGCGCCGGCTTTTGTACGCCATGTGCAGCGCCCTGCGCGCATGTTTACGTGAGAGACAGCAGACAATAGTTACTAATATATATTGTATAAACTATAAACGATTCGTCGTGTTTTATAAACATTGCCATTAGAATTCCTAAGTCGTTTGTGTTCGATTGTTACGGTTGGTACGCTAGTTTCGTTCGCGACTTTTCGTGCATTTTGACGGAGATTGAGAAATTAAGTCCAGTAGATCGGACTAATATTATAAATGCGAAAGTTTGTATGTGTTTACGTTTCTTCACGATGAAACAGTTGGACAGATTTGGATTTAGTTTAGTTCATAAGCAGTGTTATGACCTACAACACATAGGCTATTGTTAGGTACCCGGGACGCACTCGAGCGAAGTCAGGGTACTTACCCTGTATAGTAAGTACGGTAAGTATTACAGTATAGTGAAAAATTTTTTTCCAGTGATTCAGAATTACATCGAAACAGTAAATAAATTATGCCATTTAAAAGAGTTTGTAAAAAGTTATACTATACAAATAAATAAAACTGAAGCGTCTGTTTGTGATGTGAAAACCACAGCTTTTTATCAAACGCATATGCAAGTACTTTTATATATACGGTATACGGTACTTATAAGGTAAAAAAACAATGTATAAAATGTCTGTCTGTTTGTTCCGGCTAATCTCCGAAACGGCCGGATCGATTTTGACGGGACTTCACTAGCAGATAGCTGATGTTATAAGATACTCCTCGTGCAACATTTATTTTATTTATTTTAGAAAAAGGAAATGGGTTGCGCGCAAAATTTAACCGTATCGCACCTAGACGATTCGAGCGCACACGAGCGAAGCGAGGGTGAGTCGTTAGTATTTCCTAAAATGATAAATAGTATTTCTTTTCACATTTATTTTATTGTAAAAAAAAACTTACTCGATGGGTAAAAAAATATGAAGGATTAAGTAAATCACCTTTTTCAACGTACATCTAAGAATTTATGTAAAAAAGTATGGAGACCAAAAGTATTATTGACATACCCAGGCAGTGGGTCTTCACAGTTGGCGAGCTCTTCCGGCAACAAGTTGAGCTTGTCCCCGATGTGGGCGGCGCGGCGCGCGTCCGCCCGCAGCCACGCCGCCGCCACGCCCACCATGCTCGCCCACCACTCCAGCACGGGGTCCCAGCAACCTGGCCAAAATACATCCAAATATATTGTTCTTTCTTTCTTAGGTTTATGTTATCTTTTATGGTACTATAAGTTAAAGTAACTATAAGTTATTTTTTTCAATTTTCTTAGTTCTATTTTAAGGGCGCGCCGAGGCAGCGAAACGTAATTACGAAATAATTGCGTTTGTTTGATCCCTCGCTGTATTGTTATTACTAAAACTAAGTATGCGATTAATATGTAGGATAGGATTTATTCTTTTAAAAATCCTCAGTGCGGCGTAAATGATTCAAACAAGTTCATCAGTTTTTTAATAATAACAAAACTATACGTTTTCTATAACGTATACACTTTACCTTTTCAAAATATGTATTTGTTTTAATAATACGAAGGAAGTAACTAAATTCGCACGCGTTCCGTCCATCCTAGCCTTAGTATTTATTTTCTTTCCTAACCTAAATCTATAAAATATTTTCATTAATATTTTTTTTTTTTGAATTTTGTTTCTCGATGTTTCGAACGCTTTACAGCAATCATAGTCACGGAAGACATTAAGATTTAAGACGACGAAGGATATAGTTGCTACAGACAGTAACTACGCACATAATTATTTATTTATACAAAATATTTGTTTAAATAAGCAGTATGGAATAAAAAATGTATGTATGTACCTGTATGATGTGGCGCATCTGTAGACACGTCATCCGTGATCAACTTGACGAGGTCCAGCACGTCGCGCGTGCTACTTGTCTCGTCTGCTGAGAGAAGCTTTTGGAGACTCTTTTGCAGTATTTCCAAATGGTATGCCTGTAATTTACAATAATATTAAATTAGGGCATTAAATATTAAAAAGGCAGTGGAAGCTGTGTTAACGCGTTCGCTTGGGAAACCGGGTGAAGCGAGTTCAAATCCCGGGATACCGGATGGCATATCCGAGAACCTAGCAAGTTTTCGAATGACATGTGAAGTCCTCTAACCCGCACTTGGCCGGTGGTGCCCCCCTCGTATTGAAGGGAGGCCCGTACCCAGCAGTGGGACGTTAAAAAGGGCTAAATACATACATACATTAAATTGGGTATTTGACACATCATATCAAATGACATACTTTTTATAAGCTGTCAAAATGCGAGTCTATCTTTGCCCAACTAGCACGTTTTGAAGCCATTAGTGAGAGAATTGAATTAAACGCGATTCCGCCATCCATTTTGTACGGTAATAGCAACCTGACCATCACTTATTTGCCAACTGATTTTCTATTTATTGATTTCAAAGCAGGTTTTCAGGGCTACAATAATGTAATTTAAGAAAAGTTGTGCCTTACAATTATTTTAAAAAAAGTTATTATTTTACTCTTGAGAACTCGACTTCACCGTATTAACAAGCGATTGAACATGTTTGGTTACCATCGTCGTGAAAACAAAGAACAAATATATATCCTTCACTTGATTTTTCAAGCTTATAGCTGCCGCTCATCATGTACATCGTATACCATAAAGAAATAGAAAAACATAACGTTAACACACGTTTAACGTTGCATAGTAAATGTATCATAAAAATAGCACATCGGTGGAACAACTTTAAAAGTGTTTCCATACATACCCGCATAGCATAAGCCAACGGGTCAGTGGAGGCGGGCAGCCTCGCGAACAGCGCGGCGGCGGCGCCGGGCTCGCCGGCCGCGCGCGCGCGCAGGAAGCGCCGCCCGCGCGCGCTCACCGCCCAGCGCAGGCGCGCCGGGCCCTCCGCCGCGTCCCAGCTCGCCGCCGCGCGCCGCAGGTAGTACCTGCGGGGGATGAGGCGCGTTATACTGTCACGTAGGATAAATACATATTTATTGTATAACGATATTGTACACGGTTATTATTTTAAAAGAGCGACTGTTGAGTTTCTCGCCGGTTCTTTTCGGCAGGACTGCATTTGAGCCGATGGTAGATACCTCACGGACTGGCTACGCTGACAATTTATTTAACTTTAAAATGTAATTGAAGATTCAAAAGAGCTTATTAAAGTCTATTCGAATAAAGTATATTTTGATTCGATTTGAAATGTAAATTGGACTCGTTTTCCATACTTGGACTCGCATTTGGTCCGTTGTATGTTGCGAATCCTGGCTAGTTATATTTTTTGGCCTCTATTCTGTCGTAGAACGATTTGAACGTAGAGACCGGTTTGTGTGGCTCCTGGACATCAGAGACTCCCGGAAGGGTACATATGACTGCTTTTGCTGGTGCTTGCGCATATATATGTTTTTTAAATTGAGATTAGACACACAACTGAGAGCGGCTCTCGCTACGATTTTGTCCCGAGGTGATAAGGCACACAGCGATTGTCGTTACGAAAACATCCGAATCTTCGATTACTCATATATATTTTTTATATTTGAGATCTTGTAGCAACTGAGAGCGGCTCTCGCTACGGTATTACCCCGAGGTGATGTGATGTGATAGGGCACCGCCTTGCCCCCCGATAGTTTGGCAACTTTCAGATAAACACTATCTATCCTCTAATTATAGCTAAATAACAAAAAAACATACTTAGATTTACGCGAATATTTGACATATTAAATAATCAAAATAAATCGATAAAAAATTCGCGAAAAATATAGTTTTATTTAAAATTCACGTAGTTTTTTTTTCAATCGCACATTAAGCGACCACCGCAAACATACCCACACAGCCAATTCCCAAGCTTGGGCATATCCTTGAACACCAGGGCGGCAGTGACGTAGGCCTCGGCCAGGCGCGGGCCGCGGCCGCCCACCTCGGCCAGGCACGCGGCGCGCAGCGCCAGCAGCGCGCGCTCGGCGCCGCGCGCCCGCAGCTGCGCCAGCCGCAGCGACGCCGCCGCCACGTCCGCCGCCCACCGCTGCGCCGCCCTGCGCGCCGGGCTGCGAGCATACGGGACATTTCACAAAAATCAAAGGTTATGAAATTCGTTCGTTTTAGGCATATTAATTGTATTTTTAGGGGATATGAACATGTAGAGGCATCGTATGTTAGAAGCGGTGGTAGCTCAGTGGTAACGCGCTCGCTTAAAAAACCGAGTGAAGCGGGTTGGAATCCTGGGTCTCGCACCTCTGATATTTTCATGTGCGAATCGTTTCCACCACATGATTACCGCTTGCCTTACGATAAAGGAAAACATCGTGAGGAAACCTGCATGTCTGAGAACCTAGCAAGTTTTGGAAAGACATGTGAAGTCCGGCAACCCGCACTTGACTAGCGTGGTGGACTATGGCCTGATCCCCCTCGAATTGAAGGGAGGCCCGCGCCCAGTAGTGGGACGTTAAAAAAGGCTTAATACATGAACATGGACACATATTTTTTGAGTTTTATTTGTCAAATTATGGGATTCTAAAGAAGTGCAAAACAGCTTTTAAAGTGAAATAGAATAAAGTTAATTTTCGTATGACTACATACCTATATTAAGCCTACCTAAATTAAATAAACAACCCAAAATCACTTTAAAAGTCGAACAACAATCTATACTAATATTATAAAGTTTATGAGTTTGTGACGTCGTAGAGGGTAATCTCTAGATCTACTGAACCGATTTAGATGAAATTCGGGAAGGAAATAGTTCGAGACCCCGGGAAGGATATAGGATACTTTTTATCCCGGATATCATCCCTGAAGGGGGTGAACATGGGGATGGGGTAGTAACGTGAATAGAGGTGTGTACCTGTCAGCCCACAGGTCGCCGGCACGCTGCGCGAGGAAGGCGCCGGGCGGCAGGCGCTGCAGCAGCTGGCGCAGGGCCGCGGCCGCCAGCGCCGCCCCCGCGCCCGCGCCCCCCGCCGCCCCCGCGCCCGCGCCGCACGCGGCCAGCGCGCGCCGCAGCTCCACGCACGCAGCGCTTTCGTCGTTCTGGAATATGTTCGTGTTTTTTCACTGGACTCGCACATATTAGGTACATTTTTTTTGAGCGGAAGCCTAACTCTTCTTCTAAAATAAAAGTAGCCTATGTTACTCCCTATGACATCAGCTATCTTCCAGTGAAAGCCCCGTCGAAACCGGTCCAGCAGTTTCAGAGCTTATCCGAAACGAACAGACAGATAGACAAAAAAATTAAAAATTGTGTTTTTCTTATAAGTACCGTATATAATTTCATATGCATTTAGTAAAACGCTGTTATTTGGACATTACAAACAGACACTTCAATTTTATTGTCTGTTTTAATTTTTTAATTTATCTTTTTAAATTTTTAATTTAAATTTTTTTAGTTTTTTTTAATTTATCTGTATAGATGTATCAATGTCTGCACGTTTGCGCGTATGTGTGTATACGCATGTGTGCGTGTCTGCACATGTATCTGTGCGCTTTTGTATGTGAACACATGTACACATATATGCATGTGTGTACGTGTTCTTCAGTTAACAGCTGGACTTTGGCTGAAATTGCTAAATATGGAAAATGATGCCACTTATAAGGCTAATGTGTTGTATGCCTGAAGGTCTCTTTTTTTCAGAGGTTCAAATAAAAATCTCTTGATTACCATATGAATTATAAAAAATTAAGCACGTTCTATAACTGTACCAACAGCGCGCATATGATGAACGCACGTCGTCTGCGGATAAAATTAAATTTAAACAATTGCTCAAATTGATAATAGTAGGGGAGCCCAAGAGGGGATTTTCTGTAGTTACTCGAGCGCGGCAGATTAACATAAAAGAGGTTACCTTGCACTCTATTGAGTACTTTCACCATAATATAAGTCTTCTATATCGCGGGGCGCGTCTACGGAAGCCGATTAAAATATTTAAAAAATGTTTTGATAAGGTAGAAATACTTGAAACCGTCAGATTAAGGTGTGGTAGGCTAGTCACATCCTGAAAAGTGTCCAATTCAATAATCTGCCGATTTGCACAAGCCGAAGAGGCAAAAATCGACTATAAAGTTTATGATGATTTTTGCCCCTTTATATAGAAGACTTATATTGTGGTGAAAGTACTCAATAGAGTGCAAGGTAACCTCTTTTATGTTAATCTGCCGCGCTCGAGTAACTACAGAAAATCCCCTCTTGGGATCCCCTACTATAAGTACATACTAGCATTGTCAGTTACATATATAGAAGTATGCAAAGTAATATAATACCTTTTTTAAATAATTATCAGCTTCTCGTATATGTTTATAAAAAAGGCCAGCTTCCTTGGATTGTGATTTCGGTACTGTATCTCCGTAGACTAAGAGTTTAATAAGGCAGCCCCCAAGTATCACAAAGTTAATTAAGTATATAAGAAATGTGTTAAACAACCATGTTCCCCAAGATAAGCCACTTGAACCTGAAAGCATATTAAAATATTATTTACTCATCATTACTGATATATTTTCTAAATATTGTACATAGTATTCATAAAGAAAAATAAATAACTAATAGCCATTGACTTACTATAGCTGTCATCTGATAAAATTCTTCTTTGGTCCACTCGTGCTGAATAATCATTTGATACAGTCTCTGATAAAAAGCCTCCTAAGAAACTGAATGGATTGAAAGCAAGAAGCCCAACCATGAAGGCACATAATGCTAATCGAGAGTGATCACCCATTCCAATCACAATTTTTGAATATTTTTCCTCTACCTTTAAGAAATACAGACATTTTTAGTAATTAGTAGTAACTAGTATTTAAAACACGTGACATATATATTGTCAATATTATACTGGAAATAATTGCTCATACTGCATGCCTAACATATTATCTCAATCTAATGTACGGTATAGAAACTAACATACTCAATTTATTCATGTTTTTAAGAGCAGTATAATATATTATATAAGCACACATACCTTATATTCAGGAGATGAAGGTGAATCGCTATCTATACCACGAGGAGAATGGTATGGGGAAGAAGAGTCACTGTGTGGTGGAGTGTATGCTCCGTCAAAAACAAGATCCTTAACACCCGACTTCTGGCATGCTAACTTAAGAGACATATTTTCTTGCTTCAGTCTTGCATTTTGATTTTGCAAGTACTTAATATAGTCTATGGTTTTCCTTAATATTGCTGATTTATTTAACTATAAATTAATGATATAAACAACAATTAAATTAACACCTCCAGGTAAATTCCTAAGAAATTAATTAAAATTCTAAGAAATCTATTGTTAACTGACACACCGGCGTGTCCGTGGTCTTGGAGAGATTAAAATTTGAATGAATAATGTAAAATATTTTTAAATATATTTTTTGATGTTTGAATATGTACAATAAACTTACCTTAGCTTCTTCTCCTACTAACATATTCTTAAGTTCTACTATTCGATCATTAATGCTGGTTCTATATCTTCTTTCTATAGCATTGTGAGCACTTCGTTTCACTTCTTTCACTTTAGGTCTCCCATTATTTGATGTTTGGTTGAAAGATATCTTATCTCCATCCAGAACAACTGGTATGCCAGTTGTGAGCAAAGTTGGTCCACTGTTACTAGTGAAGAATGTGTGTATGGGTTGACCTTCATTACCACACTTTGCATTTGTGATGATGCCTTGAGTAGTGCCTATAAAATTGATATTTAAATAAGAAAACCCAACATTAAATTTACAATTCATTACTTTAAGAAACTCAATAGTTACCTTGTACAGGAGCACTGGTATACATTAATGTCTGTGTCTCTGGATTAATAATATTTGATTGTAATATTACTGGAGAAAAATTAGAATCAGTACTTTTCAATATAACAGGTGTAACATTTTTAGCATTATTAGGTAATAGCAAAGGTTGAGTTGATGTTGGTTTAGATGCTTGACTTATCTTTGAAACTCCATCTAACTGAACAAGTGATGTTCTACCATCAGGCAATTTCTGTAGGCTTCCTTGAGCTAGGTTTACATAGAGTGGGCTTTGAATTATTTGTTGTACTACCATTGGTGTTGGTGTTGATTGGTTTGAACAATGTTGAGTAACATCTGGTAATGTTGCTTCATTTTTAATATCCAAATTGTATCCTTCTTCTCTACCATATACACCCAAAACAGGACTGCTCTTTGGTTGTTGAACATGATGATGTGATTTCCGATTTTGAGGATGTTGAGAAACTAAAGGATTTCCTGGAGCATTATAATACGGTGACAATTGGGGTGATGAAATGTTAGGATTATATTTCGTATCTACATTTAAAATTCCAGGGTCTGGATCTACAAAAGCCAGTTCTTCTTCTAACTTTTTCATAAAATCTCCATCGCAACCGCTGAGAAAATCTATAAAAAGCATAAATTAATAACGTGAGTCACTACCCTTCTTGTTAAGATGAAATAAACGTAAATAACTCACCTTCAATTTCGGCAATATCGTGAACATTAAATACATCGTTGTTTATGAAAGGTTCCTCCGCCTCCATCGTGGACAATCATTCAGATCAAAAAGGCACTTTTTTTTATTCCTATATTTCGTTGTATTTTTATTTTTTGTGTTTTATTACGCTTTATTTTACACTTGTTTACGTTCATTCAAGTACTTTTACTATATTTTGACATGTGAATTGTGATCCAATCCAACAATTGTCCAATCAAAACAAGGAATTTCGGTGGCGCGATTTTACGTCACAAAGTAAGACGTTCAAAAATCTATAATAAAAAAACGAAAATGTCGTAACTTAAGACTATTTTATTTTAAAATATAATCTTTTATAATAATTAATAATTTATTCTAAGAAATATAATTTGAAATTTCAACAAATGCCAAATTATTATAATTATAAAACATATGTTATTTATACCATCTATTGGATAGTATTTAGATTAGCACTTTCGGCTTACGAAAGTCACCAAAAGATGGCGCTACTATGGCGCATTATATTACTAGAGATATCATTCGTAAACATTGAATTTACATATTCAATTATTTTTTGCATCTTTTAATTAAGTTGTTGTCTATAATTTGTGCCCTAAGACTAAGGAATAATACTTTAGTCTAAGTGTCTGCCATAGCATAAGTAATATTTCTTTTGTGTACCTACTCTCTTTGGGAACTTCATTTTAATTCCTACGTCGCAAAATCTATATCTATACTTATTATAAAAATAAGTCCCCCGGCCGCGTCTTTCTGTCCTCCTGTCTGTCCTCCTGTCTGTCCTCCTGTCTGTCTGAACGCGATAAACTCGAAAACTACTGAACGGATTTTTATACGGTTTTCAACAATAGAAAGAGTAATTCTTGAGGAAGGTTTAGGTATATAATTTATTATGCTTTTATGTAAATTAGCTGAAATACGGCGACAAATGTTGAAGAGGTCGCAAAAAATCTCGCCAAATGGGAACTTTCCACGCGAACGCCGCGTAAACTAGCAAAGATACAGTTAAGTAATGTACTAGAGAATTCAAAATCTATAAAAATGCTACAAAAAAGTCCGCGATAGCATATCTCTATCTCTTACGGTTGACTTACAATAACCACTTTTATGTTAACATTTTTAATTAAAAACATTACGTTATTTTCAAAGTTATTTTCTTTAGTTCGGTATTAATCCTTATCCAAATGAATATTTTAGTTAGCTTAGTCATTTAATGCAGATTAAAATTGCTCTTTACACTAAATCAATCAGATGAATAGTTTTTGAGATATCGTTATTAGAAGTAATTAGTAGCGAAACATTTTTAATGCTTGGCGAGCATTGAGATGCCTACGGCGAGTCCATCCCCTCTGCCCCGCATCGCTCGACCGCCTGCTCAAGCTATATAAACCGGGCGATGTAGCGCGCGATCCTAGGATACTTTTTACCGCGGGAAAATATCTTATTTCTGAGGAAAAATACAAAAACTGCAATGTAAGAGTATACTAATATGTAACACCTAAGAATTTAGTTTTTGGTCATCTGAACGCGGGCGGAGCCGCGGGCAATGCTAGTATGTATATAAATGTGAAAGTTTGTTTGTTTGTCCTTCTTTTACGTCGAAACAGAGTGACGGATTGGCATGATTTTGATTTATTTTTATGAGGAGATAGTTGCAGGGCTGGAGAGTGACATAGTCAGTAACATAGTAGTTAATCTCATTCTCAAGGGAAAATACGTTAAAATACAACCCACAACAAATCATACCTATGTACACATACAACATACGTAGTCTATCTATTTCATACTAAACATTAAAATGTACCCGGGGGTGAAACCGAGCGAAGCTTGGGTGAGCCGTTATATAGTACATTATTTGTATTCAGCCCTTTTTAACGTCCCACTGCTGGGCACGGGCCTCCCTTCAATACGAGGGGGATCAGGCCATAGTCCACCACGCTGGCCAATTGCGGATTGGCGGACTTCACACGTCTTTTGAAAACTTGCTAGGTTCTCTCAGACATGCAGGTTTCCTCACGATGTTTTTCCTTCACCGTAAGGCAAGTGGTAATCATGTTAGAAATGATTCGCACATGAAAATATCAGAGGTGCGAGACCCGGGATTTGAACCCGCTTCACTCAGTTTCCCAAGCAAGCGCGTTACCACTGGGCTACCACTGCCTAGTACATTATTTCTGAATTAAAATGAAACATTAAACCGTGACAGTTTTAAGACCTAAACTGTTTTTCCACGTCTTTATATTTATAATCAAATTTGAAATTTTCCCTGTTAATGTGTAATGTTTTTTTTGCTTCTGTAAGTAAAACGATATTTGTAAATAAATGCATAAAGTAGTAAATCATATTATGTAGCGCCTGACAAAAATAGTTCTGCAATTAAGCTAATTTACACATAAGATAATGTACATTTTCAAAAATATTTATGTTATGAATATTATATTATAAGTAATAACCCAACTAATTTGATAAATTGATATTGCGATATAATTTAAAACTCTTTACTATCCCCTAAAAATATTGTTTCTTGTTGTATTTATATTATACCTAAAACAAGCGACCATCTCCAGCTTCGATGGATGATTCTTTTTCAATTTTACACTTAATGTCCAATCGGAATCCGGTTTGGGAACAAAATATGATTTAAAAACGTTAGCAGGTATATAAGGAATAGAAATTCGTAAAATGCCCTCGGTGCCCAGCTACCCCCGAGAAATGGGGGGACGCAAAGCGTTGAAAAATAGTTTTTTTTCAATTTCCGGCTTACTGTGACGTTCATCGAAAAATGTTTTCTACAAAAGTTGTAGGTCTAATAAAAATCTACAACTTTTATTAATAACACTTTGTACAATAACCTCAAGTTTTCGAGATATTTGCAGAAAACTCAGTTTTTAACTTTACCTGGTTTTTTTTTATTTTTAATTTCTAGAATAATCATTTGATTTCCATGAAACTAAGGGAATGTAATGTTCGCAATACATATAATAAATAAAAAAAAATGAAATTGAAATGTTTAGCCATTTCCGAGAAAAGTACCTATGTTTTATGGTCTCGAGAGGCTGAAAATCACCCCCAACTTCAAGTGGACATTTAGTCGTTTACATTAAAAAAAAATTCACCCTCGTCTCGACTCGTCAAATTAAAAACTTAACGATACCATCTTTTTCGTTTTTTCCCGAAAAATAGATTGGTGTAATCAGTATATAAAAATTTAATCAATAAAGTATACTTCTTCAATGATAATTAAAAAAAATATAGTTTACAAAGTAGAAGTTATCGTTTCTTACACGGTTACGTTCGTTACAGGTTCTCAATATTTTTTTTTCTTTTTTATCTCTAGATGGCTCCGAATATACCAGTTTTTAAGTCTAATAATAAACTTTTAAGCTCAAAAAATCGATGGACGATCCTGTAGGTACTCTTTGGGTGATGCTCGAAAAACAATATATTGATACAGCAAAAAATCGAATCTACATTTAAAACCAAGAGGAGAAATATAGATTTTTTTCAAATTTTATACTTAAGATGTCCAAAGTATGAGGAATAAAATAAAAGGAAAAGGAGTAGGTAAATAAGGAAAAAAGCAACTAAGTGATGAATGAGTTACAATATTTCGATATTAAACGTTTATTTTGTATTTATAACATTATATTATCTGTAAATATAGTTCTTATTATAATATTTAGTTACGAGAACAAACTCGATTATAATTAATTCCCTACTATAGGTACATACATATCGAACTACAGAAAGTACTTACGATTCGCATTCACAACTACATGACGATCTCTAGTGCATAACATCATACTTAAAATTATTTATAGGCACAAAAGTAGGTATATTAATGATATAATCACATAACATCTTGTCTAACCAAACAAATCGTGAGGTATTTTAAAGGTTTTAATTAATAATAGTTTACATTTATAATAATTGTGTTCCCGACACAAAACATTTTTTAAACCACTCAACGTCCTGTTGAAGAACAAATAAGCCTACGTTGTGTTCGTAAATCACTAAAGAACACAATGTGTAACTACTGGAATGTCTGTAAAACTCTAGATTTCAACAAACAAGGCACAACACAGTGACACTTCAGTAGTGCAGTTCCTACACAAACCCGCGAATAACTTAATTAAAAACACAATATGCAAATACTATATAGTATCTATGGCATTTTCAAACTAGACTAAAATAACAAATCAGTCTTCAATTAATTACAAAATAATAAGTATAATTACGGTACAATTAGCTTAAACAATATAATTATAGTTGTCTCAGTATTAACATGTTTGTAAATGTATAACAGTTTTTTCTACTTAAATAAATAAAAGAAATTTATCATCTGTTAGAAGGTACACGTCTTTACTGCACGCATATATTTATTTTGTTAGGTACAACAAGCTTTTTTAATATTATATATTATGATTTTTGTATGAAAAGTTATATAATTGCTACCTTATAATAACTTAAAAGTAGAACATTACGTAACTATCAAAAACGCGACGAAATGATTTTTCATTTATTAGATTATTATTGAGCATCCACATCTACGAAGTGTTATATTACCCCTTACTTCTACAAACGACCGTGCTTGTGCAAATCAATCAATATTATAGTAAAGGTGAATACAACTAGATATCAACAATGAACAATTATGGCAAATCGCAAACAATGTCTACTAATATAAATAGTAACGTAAGGAAGGTAGAATATAAATACGTCGCTTTAAAGTGATATGAGCGTTACGCCTCGCACGAGTTCCTTCAATGAAAAATTGAATCAATTACAATTCGTACCATTTGTACCTAACATCATTTCAAAAGGTAATGAAAAACGACTCACACATTCATAAACAGTGTTCGTAGGTTTTATAAAATGGTTCAGATGCAAGTTCATTTTGCAAACGGAACGAATTATTACAAAGGATCAAACCGTGCGATGCTGTGGACTAGAGTTAAACTGTAGCGAGCGTGAGGTAATGGCGGCGTTTCAGTCTATAAACATCACAGTCGCGGACAACAAATTGCACAATAACTCGTCTAGACGGACCTGCTCGAAGCACATGGTGTGCCTCGTAGTATGCCTATCTTCCTGACCATCGAGCCCTATACGGTACCGCTCCAACTTACACATTAAATGCTAATTAAAGCTAACCTATACACGATTACATTAACAAAGACGTAAAAGTTATAAAACATAAAAAATCTACAGAAGAAAATAAACAAACATAAATCACAAAAAGGCACCGCCCAACCGTTTAACGGAAATTTTATTTCGTTATCGGTCAAAACGGTGTTTGAAAATAAATAAAATAGAGAAAAAGAGAGGTAGAAGATATGTGGCCGCGGGGCCCATTGCAATCGCCCGGCCGAAGCCCGGTCAGCGTGGCATGCGCGCGCGGCGCGTCCTACCAGTAGCCTACCTATAAGTGCCTTATTTCTAACTTTGTACGCCTAAGTCAGTCTTTTTTTAATGTTTTTTTAGTTTTTCACAATATTCAATCTCTGTCGCTGCTGCAATCAAGCGCAAAGTTACGAGGCGGTACTATTACACCTGAAGGTGGATCTGGATCGCGTCGTCGCGCCACCGAGAGGTCTTCAACATGATCATTGTCAGCTGGAGGAGATCGGGGTGACTGGGGTGCTGAACGAGGTGGGGTTCGAGGAGCTAAAGCAGCATGAGCTGCGGCAGCTAAGGCCATAGCATGTAAAGCTTCTCGGCCTCCATCTCTAGTAGCTCCTTCTAGTGCTTGTTGTAGGAAAGATGGATCTATAAGCGGTGTTGTTGGCGCCCCGTCATCATTGCCGCCGGTCCCACTTAGACCGTAAGGGAAAGCTGCGCCGTTTGATTCTCTTTTTACTCCACGGCTCATAGGGCGACTTGTAGTAATGCCTAGTTTTTTCACTTTATCGTACAATGTGCGTGATGGAACACCGTATTTACGGGAGGCTTGTAAAGCGCTCATTCCATTTCGAACACATTCAATAGCAGACATGATATCTGACCTCGTGTACTGTTTATATCGTTTCCATTCAGGTTTTTGCTGAGGTGGTACATAGGGAGCTAAACCAGCTCTCACATCTTGTTGAAAATTAGTTGGAGGTGGAGATGGATGAAATGATCGTTGATTATCGTCTTCGAAAGACCGCTCAGTGTATGGTGAGTGAGCGTCCTCTGATCGGTCTGAACGATTGTAATGCGGAGAAGAAGCTCTAGAGGACAGTCGCCTGGGACGGTAATCAAATGGCCTTTGTGGACTAGCAGGTCTTTCAGATTCATGTGCCGACCCGTTAGAGTGCAAGCGTGTTGATTCATGCTGACTGACAGGGTGACACACAAGCGACATAGGCTGAGATGAATCCACTGGAGTAGCTTGAGCGAGAACGTTTCGTAGTATTGGGGTGTCACGAGTAGCTAGCATACTAGATAGTTTTTTACGTTTTAACGGGTTCATGTCTGCAGAATCGTAAGCAGCTGAAAGTACGGGTGCGGAAGGTGCAAGCGGCCATCGAGTAGACGTCATGGGAGGCGAAACGCTAGATGGCGCAGCTGGGACCACGCGCGGAGGAGAAGCCGCAGGAGTGCGTTCACTACTCCCAGGTCGACGCCGTAGTTCTGTCATATCAAACAAGCCCTTTACCTCAAGTTGTTCCGCCACCTTCATGATACGCGGAATATGCGCTTGAGTGACATTAACTTCACCCGTGTACATATATTCGAGAAGAGCACGCATTTCGAAGTCTTTAACTCCTGGAAATAGTATACTGCAATGATCCATAGGTACATCTGCTAATATTGATTGAAAGTATGGTGAATTAGCAGCAAGTACTACCCTATGTGCTTTAAAGGTTACTTGGTCGTCGACGACCAGCGTGCAATCAACATACGTCTCGACTTTAATTAAAGCTTCTAAAATTTCTACTAGGTTGGTTTTATGATGATTCCATTTTAAGCAAAAGGTTTGCTGACCTTCGCTGCTCCCCATTTTTCTTAGTTGGGATTCTGTAAACAATGAAACCAACATTAATTTAATTTGAAGAAACTTATAAAAATCTTGTTAGATTATATTATACCTATTTAAATAGAATTATAACAATTAATTAAATTTATTTTACAGTCACGATGATTAATTAAACGTTAACAATTAATGTTCTTAATAATTAGTTTAGTTTGATCTTCTGACATAACGTTAATAATAAAACAAAAATGTATTAGAAAATTCAATATTATAGAAAAAATATATTTCGAAAAGCTATCTTATATAATAGTACCTTAATGTATTTTTATTGTATTATTCATATAGGTTGTTTTAAATAAAATTATCTTTTCGGATTATGTGACCACGTATTTTGATTTTTTTTATCCAAATCAAAGTTAAACCGCGACCAAATCCGAAAAGATAGTTTTCATTAAAATATCCAATAATTGCGTAAATCTAAGAAATTGTTTATGGAACTATTTTAATAAACCCGTTGTTAAACTAGTATAAAACAAAAATATAAGAACTATATAGACAAACTTGAATAAAAACAGCGTAACGCATACCTAAATAAAAACCACATATAGAACACATAGAGCAATCACTTATTCTATAACGTACCCGGTAAAACGCCTTCATATGTAGAGCCGGGAAACATCTTAGAGATGACAACGACAGAGTAAAACTAACTTGATCACATGTATTAGCAATATTACGTGGCGTGCACTTCGCGAGTAGAACGCACTAACTGAAAGCCGTATGCGAAGTGCGAACGTATGTCATGAAGGAGCACGACTGGCCGACTGCACCGCCCTTCCCCATTTACATATATCGCTTTATAGCCCTTCCTTGCTGCTAAATTGACTTTTACCTTTTATTCGGCAGGTAAATCGAAATTGGGGGACCGGCGAAAACGAAAACAGCTACACTATCCCTTACATCTATCGCTTTAATTTAAAAATTAAAAAGTTTAGCCGCACACAGCTTTAATTCTTACACAGTTCATATTAAAGCATAAAATTTTAAATACGAAACTACTGTATAAACCAGTTCACTAATACCGGACTTCGTAGCATCTCTACATATGAGGTAAAAATGATAATAAAAATCGAGCATGCATGTTCTATATTAATTAGAGATTAATTAATGCACACTGACCTTTCTCCGTCGAAATAAAGGATCCAGCTTCAGGAAATTCGCTGAAAATTATGTTGAGTAATCGGAAACAAAAGTTCGCATTGACACTGAACAAAGTTCGTACTAGGATCGGGGGTTGTTTCGCGATAGAGGCTACGGTGCGCCCTGTGGGGGCGGTATGCTCCTCCGAGCGTCTGGCGGTGACTGTTCACTGTTAGTTGCAGGCGGCGCTCGCAGTCGGAGAATGCCGCGTCCCCCGCACTCCTCGTGCGTGCGCTTTTTACGCACGCACGGCGTCGGAGTGCAGTGCAATTGCGTGGAGGCGCGGGGGGCGGCGACGAATTGCAGCCCGCCGAGGAGGGCTCGCCTCTGTGTGCGTGAGTGCGCACGAGCACCGTACACTCTCTCACTCATGTGACCTATCCACTATAGATTAAAGCCGAATTCAGCTCATAAAAAGCTAGAGCCTCGCCCAGATCCTTTGTATGCTAACGTTGAACTTCGCGTCGTGCCAACGAAATCGGGTATTCTTTTAGTTTGCCTCGTTAATTAACATAAAAATCGAATTAATATGCATTCTAGCATTTACAAAACTTACTTTGATACTCTCTTATAATGTTTACTCATAAGGAATCGTCAATAATACATACTAGCGACTCACCCTCGCTGCGCTAGGATTCGTCCCTAGGTTGCTTCCCGATACAAATCATCACCCCCATTTTCACCCCCTTAAGGAATGAAAAACTATCCTATGTCTTACGAAGATCTCAAACTATCTTCTTACCAAACATCTAAATCGGTTCAGTAGTTCCGGAGCCTATTCGGTGCAAACAAACAAACAAATCTTTCCTCTTTATAATATTAGTATAGATTATTAATTTATTGTATGATTTCTTCTTAACCTGTAAACGTATTACACGGAATACACTCGTATATAATTTTATTATTTTTAGATATCTTCTATCTACATGTCTGATCGATTATCTTTTAAAAAATCATATACCCTAATTATTTTATATAGATTAAGGTATAGGAAACGTAAATACGTTGCGTAATATACGTAGATTAAGGTTACAAAGATTGCCGTACCTATTGTAGAATTATATTTAAAACATTTCATTTTAATTTAATTAACATCTTCAATAACTCTATGAAGGGATCAAAAATTTTAAAGAGACGTCGTAATGCTTTTTTTAACACGGTTATAATTAACAGAGTTAAAGTAGTCATAGCTTGTATACCTACTAATGTGTAGGAATCGAAGCTAGGAAAACTTTTCATCTTTAACTCTTAAATATAAGATGTCTAGAATATACATTTATTTTTACTGCGCCCGTTTTATGTACTAATTCCCAAATTTTAAACTAAATGTTGAGATTCCAAAACTTTTAAAAAATTATCACACATTTTGTCACTTGTATGTCATAATGAACAATATAAATATACTATACCTATACGTTGCCAAAGCATAGAAACTTCAATCTGTATAATGCGGCTGTGCGTCCTAAAATATCGCGTTCATCGTCTACGTAAATTGCCCCAAAAGTTTCAAAAAGTACGTGAACAAACGCCGCGAAACGGGGTCATTGACACATTGCCTGCGTAGGGAACGCCAAAATAGCGCAAAATGCACTCAAAAATAGATCAAGCTGTGTGCAATATTTTTTGTCTAACAGAATATGCATCCGCTCAATATGCAATGATGTAATCGCTCAATATGCATGTAAAATAAAATAGCAAAATAAAATATCTTGCCTAACTGTTCATTTTAGACTAGAAGCGAATAATAATCTCTACATTTTTCATTTGATAAGAATGTATAAACTCTTTATATTATACTCGAACTCTACACGTTATATAGGGTTAAAATATAAAATACAATTATAGATCAATAAAATAAGAAATATTTTACAGTGGTTCAAATTTTATATGTACAAATTAAATATAGCCGTAATATGTCGCATAATACAAAATGCACTTTTCTGTTGTAGAAATTACACTATTAAAAGGGTTTAAGTGATCACAGAATGGATATTAAATTGTCTCTCAATACCTACAATACACTAATAGTGCACCGCGTCACTCTTAATCTACTTATTATTATACGGGACACGCGGATTGAACATATTATATTGATAGGCATTTATTGGGGTAGCTATAGACTGTCAATAGATATCATATTCAATTTACCTGCAGCCAACTTTATGTAGAATAAGAACATCGAAAATATAGTGAGAGTCTAATAGTAGTATAACGTTAGGGATTTTACAAAATAGGTACCAACGAAGCTTATTATATTAAACGAGCAATTCTTGTATAGGAAGGATATATACATTTATTTAAATTTGGATTAAATTTTGTATTTAGATAAGGTTTTGCTTTTTAAGTTTATTTACATAGATAGGTGTCTTAAGTGAAAAAATACAATTTTTATATCTCTTCCACAAAACGCCAAGCGAAGCTCGTTCTTCGAGGTAGTATATCTATGAAACGACACATGTCCTGTCACACAGCAAACCAGTGACTTAACTAATTAATTTATCAATCTTTTGAAATAATTTTAAAATAATAATATAAGTTTCCCATGAAATTATCGATTTAGTATGAATTCCTGAGCATAAACAATGGCAGCGAATGTCAGCGGTGCTCCACTCAACAGCAATTCGTCAAGTACACTTGAAGCATTTGCATATCGATGACGTTTCATTCACTCAATTGTTTAGAATTCAAATTTTATTTAAGATGTGGGAAAACATAGCAGCAGCAGTTTAATAAATACATAGAATTTGTTTCCATCATCAAAATTTACATATCTTCATTATTCTATATACTTTTACCTAAAAAAAATCATTAAAATTTAATTCTCTTAAGTCACACAAAAGTTCCTAGTCGTAGTAACAGCGGTCAACCGCACGACCGTTAAATTTGATGATAATTTGGTTATTGCCCCGGAAATACAAATGCAGAAATGCAAATGCGCCTTTGTTAATACTTCTAATAGTTTTGACCTTTGCTACAAATTAAAGTAGTTCGTAAGTATTTTGCGCTAACGAAAATAATAAATAGTTCAATAAACCTATGAGTGATTCATGAAATCGTATATATGTAAATAAATTACAATTTGATTTGCAATTTACAATATAAGCATCAGCGACAATTGATAAACAAAGCGATGCACAAAGAGCATTATGCTAATACCAGCATGGCGACGCTCCGCGACCTATCCCACGGCAACGCACGCGCAGCAAAAACTTACGCGAGCGGGGGTTAGTGAAAAAAGTAATAAAAAAGCAATAATGCGATCCCGCATGGTGGCGAGTTACGAAATTGACGCGACTGATGAACCGAAAGTTAGGGATCAAGTGATCGTAACAAAAGACGACATTACTAATAATAATCCCAATATATGACATAAACAAACACATTCAATAAACACGTATCATGTATACAATATACATGAGTAGGTACCTAGTTTAAAAAAAATGTTTTCATCCAGTGAAATGAGTAGTATTTACAAATCACAAACAATGAAAAAGACCTCTAAACTTATGAATAAAATATAAACTAAGGTTATAGAAGAATGCGAAAATGTTTTAATTCACAAACTTTTAACTTATTTATTAGCTACAATTAATACATTAAATTTGCATAATGATGAAAGGGGTGGTGGCCAGCATAAAGGTAATTGTAATTTCACGCAAACGAACCGCTCCGTCATTTGTCACCAGCTTCCCGCCACGCGCCCTTACTGAATTTATTATTTTATATTATCTGTATCATCTGGGGTGCTTTACCCTCTCATCTCGTATATTAACTAGGAGACAATTAAATGATACACTCCTGGTAAGTAAAAAAATATGCCTGCGTATATTATCATTAAAATAATAAGATCTTCACTGCCAGTTTCATAATAGCTCTATATATTAATACGTCTACATTTAATAATTTTTCTCTTAATTTCTTAGTTTAACCTCTTGGTTATCTCATCGACGTGATAGAAAGTGACAATCAATACAACAGTTCATGCTAAAAAAACTTGTATAAAGTTTTTTTTTCTATTTATGTATGTAGGTATGTCTTATAATGACAATTTCCAATGGTATACAAAACTAGAGCGTTTTAACGGTTAGTATAGATTTCTCAGAGATACGATATTTTCCCTTAGTAAGAAGTACCCTTTATGTTGACCTGGATAACTAGCTATCAGCATACAAAGTTTTATCAAAATCTGTCCAGTGGATTTCTCGTTAAGCGTTTCCAGACAGACAGATAGACAAAAATTCTGAAAACCATATATTCGATCTCTATGTAGATAATAATGACTATTTCAATAAATTTTCCAAAAAAAATTTAATATACAGATTCGACTCAGAATTTTATCATATGTATAGATAGACAATAATTGTCTATTCATTATGTCAATTTTATACTATCCATGTGTGTGTGTGCATTCTGAAGAAGTTGACTTCAAATTATAATCAAACATTCATAATCAAAGTCTAACGCGGCGTGCGCGGGCGAGTCCGGATGCGGTTCATTGTAGCGAAACTCCCCGAGAGATACAGAGGTGAAACAATATACTCTTTCCTGCTATTGTCTAGCCTTCATTCATTTAAATAATTTTATAATAATTTGTAAAATATAAAGTCGCAAAATATGTATAATGTATATAATGATGGTACAAATTATATATAATAGTATTATGTGCAGTGCAGTGTCAGACATATATATGTATCAGATTTAGAGTAGATTCCTTCTCAAATAGGTGTATCAATGTTCCAAAATCTATAGGTAAAAAATGTAATACCTATAGTAATAGTACTTATTATTTTGACTACTAAAGATCTCGTTTTAATCTTTTTTTTTTAATGTGTTTCATAGAATCAAATTTAGTTAAAATAATAACGCTCTTTAAAAACGGGGTCAAAAAGGTGTAGAAAAAAATAACTATTAAATTAAGAATGGGTGGTTCTGCTAAGTATTATTGTCAAAATATCAGCAAGCACCTGCCCTGCAGACAAGGAGGCGCGTAACGATTTTTTTGTTACCACAACCCCCAAAAAAATATTAAGTGCCTTATTTTTTCAACATAAAATTTTAAATTTACATTTTAGTAGACAGGTTGTTTTTAAATTTATATTCTAACTAATAGATGCATCGCATTCCATTGAAAAGTATTCATTGTATGAGGTACAACGCATATATTTACGGTATCGTAATTCGAGAATCACATATACCTTCAGTAAATAGCCGCGTTTAAAGCCATATATTCCAAATAATTCGCTTCCCCAGTCGCGGCCATGTTGGCTTCGAAGCTCTACAAAATAAAACAACCGCGAGCTGTCTACTTTTTTACCTTTTTTATACAGGATCATTTTTCTTGTTGGCTTGGTCGGCGGATTAAAGATGTCGCGTGCTAAAGAAAAATAAGTCTTATAGGTTATAAGATAGGGTATTTATGGCGTATGTAGGTAATACCGAAGTGGACGTCCTTGGACGGACTCGATCTGCTAGCCGCGAGAGATCGTCCCATCGGCGCATGGTCGTTGCACTGATACGATGCATTTAAAATGCATTGGAAAGTTGAAAATGTAACCATTGAATAATTTGTATGCCAAGAACTTAAAATATACTTAAGGTAACTTACTAAGCATATGATATATAAATCCTACCTCTTTATGCATATTGAACGTATTTATATTTGTTATTATTATTGTATTTGTTATGAGTGTGTAATCAACGTGTTAACATAGGACACCAGTAAGAATAATAGTTTATATTTTATTATACAATATATAGAAAAGAATAAAATATTTTATTTTTCTTTTACGGGGTAGCAATGCGAGTAATAGTTATTATACTCATACACATTGACATTATGTAATAGAGCTTGTTTATTTACTTATATATTTACATACCTATTGCTAATGAGGTAGATGTTAGACGGTCTACTGATTTATGACTTGCTTCACTAAAGTTAAAAAATCACCTTGCTTTCGTAACGTCTATGGAAATTCCAAACAAATCTACCTTAAAATCGTGCCTACTTTAAAATCACTACGAACTTTCCAAATTGCTGGAACACCTATCTTAAGAAACAATATGAAGTCATGACTTAAAAAATACAACCTTTACTTATAATGAATCGTGTAACTTATATAAATGAATTATTTATAACGTATTTAATAAGAGTCAATGCAGAAAAATTAAAAAGTCATTGTACTAAAATATGTATCTTACTACTACTTCTTATTCTTACTACTAGTTAATTTTTTAATTGTCTTGTTAAATGTAAGTGTCTATGGAATAATCTGGATTTATTGTTAAAAATAAAAAAATAAATAAAAAAGACACTAAAAGATAGAGTTCGCTATAAAAAGTATTCGTTACTATCGTTGAACTGTTCAGTTTGTGTATGCAATTTTAACTTTTAGTACGTAGGTTTATACTTATGTATACTACCTATTTGATTAAATTCGAGTGACTTAACTTATATAAATAGGGTAACTGTAAAACCTATCAATAGATGTTATACCTATGAATAACCTATCAATAGGAATATTCATTTTTATTGTACGGATGCAATGACGCGGCGATACATTCGCGTTTGCTGTGGCGATGAAATAATAGATCAACAAATATTAAACATGCAAACATTAAAAAGCGAAGGCCAGTGCGCTTTTTACACGAAATCAATAATGTGGTCATATAATGTTATTTCCGTTGCACGTGCACAATACCGCAGTGCGAATAGATGAGCCCCCGATAGCTTATATAGTCACTAATTACAGGTATCATTCGCAACAAACTTGTCCACACTCAGCGATAGCGATACCCCTTTAAAACAAATTACTATTATTATTATAATAGTAGCAATAACGATACGGTAAATCAAAATATTGTTTTCTAAGTAGGTACATCGTTGTTGATCGATACCTAATAACTGAGCAACCTCTCCTAAAGTACCTGTCCTGAAAGTACTATATAATAAAAAAATAAGAAAAAAGAGTTCCTCTGAATTTGAAAGAGGCAGTAATTTTTTGAAATATTCGATCCGCCCTTGAACGAAACATTGACAATGATTGTTTATAAACAATTATATTGGTAACTATTTTGTAATTTTTGTTGAGTAGAAAAGGAGAGCATAAATTACTTTACAATAAATACTGACAAAAACAATCGTCAAATTACATCTTTTTAAACACATGTATATCAAAATCTAATCGCAGGTTTACGGGCAGTTATTCGCAAACACCCTGTTGTTGACATTGGGGTTGTGGCCAAAATTGTATTTTTATTATAATCGCCCTGCCATTCAGACCATATCCGATAGGGTAAATATTGTAGGGTTCTATTTCACTACAAATAGACAAAGTAAGATTGTATCGTGTAATGAGTTATGAATAATAATGCTTGCTAACTTTAGTTTAATGCAAAATCTATTACAGGTATTTCAATATAATCATTATAAAAAAATATAAAAAACATTTTACATATGTACAAGTTATTACGAATTCAATTAAATAAAATAAATAATGTAATCTTTCCGATGGGTACAACAAGTTTCATAAGAATATATATGTAGATGTGTTTTATATGTTTACTTTATAAAACAAATATTATTATGGAATATCACTTAAGCATGAAATATGCTGACAGTTTTACTATCAAAATAATAGCAAAAAGCAAGCGAATGTGTCTTCCTGTCCATACCCAATTCGACCCGCTTCAAAAGGCTTAGTGTAAAACCCCTTTTCTCGTTTTTGTATCAAAAGAGATTGCCCATAAGTATATTATTGTTGGCAAATATAAACTGATCCTTTAATGTGAATAAAGTGTCACATAAAAAATAAAAAGATTTCGTTTTTGATGATGGTACTCGTATATGCGCGCAAATATATGTGTAGTGTATATTATGTGCGTAAATTTATTTATATATACTTTGTTTTTTAATTCAATAAGGTTTTAATTCTACATAATATGTGTGTGTGTGTGTGTGTGTGTGTGTGTATCTACCCTATAAGTATCACCTAACTCATAAAGCTGAAGCCTGAAGATAACCAAACATCAAAACGCCAATACGTATACATTAATAAAGCGTTAGGTACACAGTACTCACGTCATGACAAGGATCATCAATCTGTAGTTGCATGCTATTTTGGTTATTTTTGTGGTTATTGCAATTTGTCATTTCGTTATCGTATTTTATCGTATGCATTAGTTCTCGGTACTGATAGTATTATCTGTTGCTAGTATTCGCCGCTGTTTTATCAACTTGAAGTTGACAACCACGTATTCGTACATTGCTAAACGTTACATATTTAAACATTTAGTATTACATACAAAGAACTTACGACTTTATCTAATTTTTGAAATTATTATATCTAATAACAATACCATGTACTAATTATAATCGTTTGTTTATCTATTTTCATATGTAATGGCTATAATTGTAATAAAACGGATTTAGAGATCGAAATATGTAGAACTTTCGGCTACACATTTTTTTTACATATATTTTTTTAAATTGAATGAATAAAAGAAAAGAAAAAATAAAAAAAACTTTTTCAAGTTTAAGCAAGCATCATCACCATAAGCATCCAACGATTTTTTTATAAATATAGGTAGAAATAAATAATAAAAAATATAAAATTACGTCCTATAATAATTAGTGCTTTCTAAGCTGCTCTAAAAATAAGTCATTTTCATATTTTCAGATTTACGCATAAATTAGGTAGGTATATTAACTTCTATTAAATTGAGTTAAGTATATATATTTCCTAATTTTTAAATGCGTAACGCACATTAAATTTCTCAATAAATATCACGTTTAAAGCGTTATAATTATTAGTAATTCGTTTGCGAAAGTAATAATGGTCTATGCAACAATATTGAAAACGTGCGAGAAGACGGAATGCGTATCGCGCGAAATGCAATGCGCACGCACGATGCGTGCGCGCAGATAGAGTGTGTTCGCCCGATAACACTAACGTTTTTAATGATAACAAAATATCCGTGTTCAAATACAGATATTTGTTTAATAAAATTTCTCTTATTTCCAAATATATCACAGATTATTTACTATAAACCTTAACACACTAAAAATAACTAAAATTAATCACTGCCTATATAATATATATACAGAATACAGATAGAGCTCAGCCTCACACATATAAAAAGTTAGCACACATTCGCCATTACCATTAGTATATTCACCAGTCACAATGCCAGTGTCGGACGCGAGAATTTGCAAAGTAGTTCGTATTGTACGAACGAGGGCTTCCCCGACCTACAAAAAATGCACCGAGTGCTCCACGGTCCACTATTGTCGTGCATCCAGCGTGATGATGACATGACAATGACCGGCGTGTTTGTTGTGGCTCGTGCTCGCAAACACTTCTTGTTAATGCGAAATTACGTCAATTTCGCACAATGCGACCAGGGTAACATAGGCGTGTCGAAGGTGTGTGTGTATTTGTAGAGCATCGAGTAGGTGCGGATGCGAAATTGTTGCAAATTTTTACTTGACGTTTAGTTAAAATTAATTCATGATTGATTTTAGGAATCGTCATAATTTTATTTAAGAACTTCTTGATAATAAATTTTGTTAAATATAAAATTAGGTAAACATATTATACATAATATGTACATATTATGTAGTTTATTTAAATACTTCTTATAGATTAGTTTTCTAATCACAGATGACTTATAACGACCTACGAAATACCAGGATAACATAGATTAATAGGTGGTATTTTCATCTATTTATATAAAATGCGAACAAATTAATAATTATCCTCAAATGATAGAGAATCTTTCAAGAGACTAAATTACCTACTTGTTTTATTATTGATTTTACCTTGCCAAGCGACGTTAGCCTTGTCTTTATCTTTTTATATCAAACGTAACTTTGTGATTTCCATATAAGCATAATATACTCGTATAAAATAAATTAAACTTATATAAAGTGTAGTGATGAATTTTAGTTTCAACAAAAAATATCGTAAGGTCTAAGATCTTTAGCCTATTGTCTATTTTTTTAATATTAATATTGCCTTCAGGTAATAATAAAATTATTTTTCTTATAACAAATAGCTATAAGTATGTTTTGCTTATAAAATAATGAATAAACAGTAGACATTTCGTATATTACCTTTAAAATTTAAAAATCAGACAGAACCAATGTTGCCATTTATGTTCATATCAAGATTTTTTTATGTAACATATAAAATATATGTTCAAGCATGAATGATTTTGGCAACGATTAGCGAGGGGCGTTACCATTTCGCGATAGTCACTTATCGCACACATACATACATCCTTTGCTTACATTTACTACGGCTTATGATATCTTCTCTGAACGCCTGGTACTATAAATACCTATTTGATGAAGGAAATATAAATAACATTGCTGTAAAGTACCGAAAATAAAATTAAAAAAATAAGTTATATTTATATGATTCATTAATATGTATCGCCCATCCATTATTGGGCGTTCGGAAGGAAACATTGATCGTCAAAATAAATATTTATCTAAACAGTTGCGATATTTGTGACCAACAGATTGTTCAACAACACGAGTTACGGGTAGTCGAGGTTACGACGGTTTTGAGGCCAAGGTTTTAACGCTAATATGTAGATATTTTTAATATAAGATTAAAAATACTAGTATACGTATGTAGAAAATTGAAAACTGGTTTATTATATAGATATTGCATAAATACCAAGACCAAGATTAATACGTTCATATGTTTGTTTAGTTAAAAAATAGATATAAAAATGTAAATTATTAGCTTAATGAAGATAAATTAGCTGTTATATATAATTTGCTTATTTATGAAAATGCTTAAGTACCTTAAACGTAACATCAGGTAGGTATATTATAACTATACATTTAATGTAATTAACCCTTGTAAATGGTATTTGATAGCAAACTATAGGGCCAGAACGGCGTGGCCGATCGTCCTCGTGACCAAAATACGTGCTCTGAATTATTTAAGCTCCATGTTCCACCACCGGTTATCAGTTTCCCCTGCAAACTAAGATATATTCTTTGTTTAAGTAAATTTAATTTCATTAAAAAAGTAACTGCATTAGAAATATTCTTTGAACAGCACTAATAGAGATCTATTAGTTCCCACGGGAACCGGTCATTTTTCCGGGATGAAAAGTAACCTGTTGTTTGACCGGCAATATAAGTATCAGAAAGTTAAATTTTATTAAATTAGGTGCATAAGTTGTTGTGTACTAAGCTGTATAAGCTACTATAATTTTTTAACTATCCCCCGGGAACTCTTTAATTTTCCGGAATGAAAAGTATCTTACGTGTTGACCGGAGATATAAGGTACGACCATGCAACATTTTATTTAAATCGGTCCAATAGTTTCTGTATATATATTTTTAGCCCGTACAAACAGACAGACAGAGAAACAAAAAAATTGAAAAAAAATCTGGATTTGTTCTATTTTTCGTCTTACAGGATGTAAGAAGATAACTGACTCGGTTTTTAGCATTTTTTTTCTATGTACAGAAATTCGACCTCTACAGTTTTATTATATCAATAGATAGAATAAATAACGTAGAATAAATCAGTAATATATAATAATGAAAATAGTTATAGCGAGTGTACCTTAGGACTATCTAATTTTCCGGGATATAAAGTATCTAAGATGTTGCCCGGGGATATGAGGTACCACCATGCAAAATTTCATTTAAATCGGTCCAAAAGATTCGGAGGTTAGCCCGTACAAACAGACACACAGACAAAAAGACTGAGAAACAAAAAAATTGAAAAAAATCTGGATTTGTTCTACTTGTCTTCTTACATCCCCTGACTCTGACTCGGTTTTTAGCATTTTTTTGCTATGTACAGACATTCCACCTCTACTGTTTTATTATAGTATAGATTTCAACACTTCAACAATTTTGACACAATAGTATGCGTCTATAGTGTCGTGATTCGTGAATACAAATCTAAGGGTTATATATTATTTTATACGTTTTCGAACCGGGACCCTATGTTGTAGTAAGCAATACTAATAAGACTTATGCTCCATTAGTAAAAGCTCCAAAGAATTTTTATGTATATTTTTTCAGTATTATTTATTACATAATGCCTAAAACAGCTATAGATTTTCGATGCGTTAAAGTGTCTATTTGTCTTCAACACGCAAATGTAGTGGGGAAATTTGTGTGAATAATTGATAGGAACATGTCATTTGGCAACCAACCACCCCCCTACCCTGCCACCCCAGGCTTTTGGCTAGTGGCCTCGTGTCACTAAAGTCAACACATCAAATTTTAGGGATCCCAAATTACATATTTCGACCGAGCATGGCTCATGTAAGCATCTTAAAAAATATTTTATTACTCTTAACTGTAGTTATTCAAACAATTATTCCTGATCATGATTATAAGAAATGAGGATAATTTTGAAACAACAAAAATCTAAAGAATTTTAACAAAACAAACAAGGCATATTTATATTTAATTTTGCATCAATTAATTTAAGCGTGCAATAAAAACATCTCTACGTAGAGAATGTAAGAATATTTTTGTACAACTATAGTTAGAGAACATCGTATTCGATAACTGTAAGTGGACGTATGGGTGTAAGTCATTAGTTTCCAACTTTCCGGTTTAAAACAACATTCGGCCAGGGATGTATCCGCGGCCACGCATGTGGAGGCGATGTCCCACATCGATATTTCGTACATTATTGAGTAGTCGCGTGTTGCCTCCAAAATTTCCTATGTTTGGCGATTGATGTGTAGATTGACTTTTGTCATTTACCTCGCCATGTCAAACAGTAAAATGTTTTTTTCTATACCGTCTCCTCAATTAAGGTGGTTCGGGTAATGGACTAAGGCGATTTAAATATGTACCTTTTTATTTCTTCGTATATCTGATTGGACGGGTGATGGATGAAAGTTGTATGTTGTTTTCTCTACGGCCCTTTTTACTTAACTACTATAATCGATTATTATCATTTCAGGGTTCTTATTTAGATACTTATTTCGTGACGAATTATTAAGTATCAAATGCAACTAAAATTTGTATTAGAATATTTTATTAATATGTATATGAAAGCAGAATAAGCTATTTACTTCAGTGAAAAGTTATTTCAATAGATTTCTTACTGAAAAGTTAGGCTAGAACAAGGTTTTCTTCATAGAATTTTGTTTTATATGGATATAAAGGAAATACGTTTAACAATTACCTACTATATTCTTTTTATAATAATAAATATTAATTACTTGGCACACGTTATACTTACACACCTTATTATATCTGTGACCTTCGCAAATACATTACTAAGTTAAAACAAAATACTTTAAAAGAAATCTATGGAAATAAGTGAATTCTGATAAGGTATTATACATTAGCTAATGTGCGAGTATCCTAAAAAACAAGTTTGCTTAGGAATACTATTGTGCAATTTTACATTTTTTAATTTTTTAACCCTAAAGATAAGGTACCGTTATCCAGAGAAACAAATGATAAGAGTTGAACAACATTGTGCAAATCTAACGGGTGGTCGAAGAAAGGTTGTGTTATACGTCATAAAGGCGGCGTCTTTACTAAGGGATGATATAAAATGTCGGCGTCTTTTAAACAGACGGATAAGCATAATAACAATTGAAAGAAAGTTTTATTTCGTAGAAACAGTTAGGGTTTTTACACGAAAAATAAGAATTTAGAAGAATGCTTACAAAGTATCTTTGATGCGAGTATTATAAAATATAATATTTATAACGATTTTTTTATTGAATTTTAATTAGCCAATAATAAATTGAGCCCACATCTACACAGATCATATTATGATATATGTTTTTAAACTTAGATATAACCTAAATAAAACTCTTCCATTCGCAAAGTAAAAAAAATGCGCTTACTTCATATTTGTATGATATTAAAAAATATAAAATTTCATACATAATTTTAATTTTGCTCACCTATCAAGATATCAAGATCAAGCTTTTTCAAGTTTAGACTATTGAACCTACTTCTTAAATAGCTTTAGCTTTACACGATGAATTATTCTATACGATAGAATTTAAAAAGAAAAGATGGGATTCCAAAGAATAGGTAGGTACTTTTCATCTTCGTTAAAGGAATAAATGTAATTAATATTCACAGAAGAAATATTAGTAGATAACTTAAAGAGGTTAGTCAATAGTTACTTACAAATTATTACTAGCGACTGACCCTCACTTCGCTCGGATTCGTCTCATATGAAAAACAGAAACAAACCTATCCCACGGGAACCGTACATTTTTCGGGGATAAAAAGTGACCTATGTGCTATTCCAGACTATAATCTATCTCTATACCAAATTTCATCCAGATCCGTTTAGCCGTTCTGGCTCGAAAGACTAACAAACATCCTTCCATCCACCCGTCCTCACAAACTTTCACATTTATAATGTTTGTATAGATACAGATTGTATTATTTTCGAAAATTTGTTATCTATAAATAACTGACCCTAACTTGGCATGTATAGGAATATAGGTAGGTACTATACAACCTAAAATTATTGCCTACAATTCAGAAACCTTACCGGGCGTGTATGCAGATTGCAGACACTCGGCAAATTCATTGCAATCGATTGAATGGCTTAGAAATGTTGACGTTACAAACAGATAAACAAGACAATATATCTACATTCATTTTTACAATTTCTAGGCATTGCTATTCGTGAAGTACGAAGTATTGATTGTGCTTCCTTGTGTCCGATGGTTTGAAGTAAAATTGTTAGTAGGCAAATATTATCCTCTATTGTAGTACGAGTACCTACTACGAGTATATTCAGTAAATGAAAATAGATACCAATATATTGTTCAATACACCAAAGTTTCACAATTTAAAATGCAACTTAAAATCTTCTACAAATGTGGTAGTATATGTCAGCGTTCGTGATAAATAAAACTTGTTCGACTCCGAGTGGACATTCTACTTATCGAATAATATATTTTATTTTAAGCCTTCCATTAGAATCCTATTACAGAAAGTGTCATTTGGAAAGAAAGTACCGTTACGGTCCTTAGAATCATGAACTCGCTAAATAAAAGAGAAACTCTGCACCACAACATTAAACCCTTTCCTGCGACGCGCATGTTTCCGCAGATAAAGGCGCAATTTTTATTATTTTACGATGCACCTCTCACATTGCAGATCTCCGCAAAGATGCCGACTAAAGAATACTCTGCTAAATAATAGGGTATAATAAAAACAAACGGAAAGGGTTTATACAATGCAGAAAAATTACGCAATGACTAGTTTTATGAGAGCGTCAAAAGCATTAAGTGAAAAAAATCGACTTCGCAGGTACAAACGGGGCTTATTTGTTACAGCGGGGGATAAACACTTCTTTCACAAAAAGATTTTGACGCCTAACACATTATTCACCAATGAGCTGTACGCAAATAAGTGCAATTTTTTTGTATTGTCTCTTTATAATGGTAACAATAATTGTTTTGTGTCAGGCGTCAATTTTGCTACCGAAGTCGATTATGTGTACAGTAAACTAATTACTCTAATAATAAAAACGAAGGTCTATTACTTTTTATGACAGCATTTTACTTAGATACTACTAATATACTTATTTAATACATACCTACCATTTATTGACTTAGATTTTTTACGTTTCTTGCTCGAGGAACAAAATGTTTAAAATGCATTGCTTAAAAAAATGAGCTTAGATATTACATATTATGTAAGTAAAAAAGGTTTATGAATTCATATATATATATCCAAAAATATATATGATATATATATGATTCTTTTTATATTCTTTTATGTATTTTCTTTATTTATAAACTTGTTCGTATTTTTACCAAATATAAGTCAATATTTATTCATAATATTCTTAACTATAATTTATTTTTATATCTTTTTAGCTCATTTCTCTCAGAGTGTTAATTCATGAGTATAAATTATGCTTGCTTATTGATACTGCCATTTGAACTTGATCTTATTATCAAATGTAGCTGCGACCAAAAATTATATCAATACACATTCCTTACTTACACACACGCTCTCAACGCTAATACACTTATAGATAATGTTATTCATGTATGCAGGCACATAGAAATAATGTTGTTTTTTACGAAGTAGAAATGAAATCGCTTGACTATTTAATTAATCTCAATTAATTGTTATAATTTAGCTGTAAAAGAAAGTAATGCAGCGATAACCACAAATTGTTGCAAAAAGTATGATAAGTGCTGTTAACAAATATAAATAAACATAACTATTGCCTAAACGACATTTCGATTTAAGGTGATTTTAAAATAATTTAACTTTAAACACAAATTCTATTTAATTTCCTATTCACGTATAGTTGTGTGCGACTAATCTACAACGCCACATATGACACACGGAACAGCTTTGCGACAAGGGCACGATGGCGCGGGCGCAGCTCCCACACACGCTGGCGCATTAGACGCACACAAACGCACTCACATAAACGAATATTGCTTGCTATGCTAATGCAGCGGAGATTGGGCAGGTCGTTGGCCGCGCTCCCGGACGCTACAAAGTCATTCGGCAGAACAAGTTGCGGTCCACCCTCGCTGCGCCCTTAATATCATAGCTTATATCTCGTTGTTTGTTTGAAACATTGTACTTACATACTATGTTTCTGAATCTTAATCCCTCCACGATCGCGGACACGCCGGCGTTACAGTTAACAATAGATTTCTTAGAAATTTACCTGGAGGTGTTAAGTATTAAATTGATCTTATCTTAGGAGAGTTAAATTATCTTAATAGCAAAATATCAATTAAATTAGGCTTTCATAAGCACTTAAATTATATTATAAATAAGAAATATATTCTTCACTAACGAATAGTAAGTACATTGTACTTTTCATTCAAAGATGTTTTTGATATTCAGAAGCATTCTCAGATTTTAAACGCAACTTCACTTAAACACAGTTTTAAAGTTGGTTGCTAAGCCACGTCATCACTGGCCAGTAACCTTGAGTGCAGCGCGGGCGCAATAGATTAGACACAAAACGACATACATGTAGACACTGTTCACGTGTGTGCGTTAAGGAAGGGCTGATTGTTGTGTCGTCTTCCTACATTTAATAGAGGCAACTATTTAACATGTTCTCGTATTATCCATTTCTTATAATTTATTAAAACAATATGTAGAGATTAGGTAAACTTTCATTAGAGCTAAAATTTCAACTTTCTAAAATAAATCAATATATTTTCTGTTAATAATGGGCCCAAGAAAACATTTTATCTACGGGACAACTTACGAGTATAACCTAATAATATGTCATGCATTGTATACCTATACATACAATACATTTAACTGTTGTTACTTTCTAGAAAGTGCATCGGCTGCAACCTTGACGCGTCGCTATAGTAACATCGATAATGGATGATGATACATCTTTCTAACTGTATTTTTTATAAATTGAGAGTTAATTTATTTAAGATAATTTTGCCTATTAATTATTTTTGTACGTTCAAATACCAATTGAAAGGATTGTTTCATTATGAAATTAAATTGATTATATAGTTCTTACTAAGAGCTATGGTATGGTAAAGTATTCAATTAGTCGGTTCCTATAGTACTGGGCGTGCCGCATATATGCGAGGCCGGGCCTGCACATCCTGGCAAGGCGTGGGCGGCGGGGCGAGCGGCCAAGCGGTTATTTCGGTATGCACATTGCATGCAGCGCGGCACCACTGCACTTGCCACTCGAAATAGTCAGGTCAGGGACCGCGAGCTTCGTCTCGATCCTTCCCCAAGGTCAACATTTCACTCCCCCCCTCCCACCAGACGCTGTGTCACATTACCTCACCGGTCTCGACTTTTCTTACAACATAAAGTCGGTTAATAGGCCTTGTAAAAAATAGAAGTTTTCATTACGTTACTGCACCTAAATAGAGGAGTGATTAACTTAACTAAACTATTACTGGTACTTTTGAAACTGTTGCTATATTCAGTTAGTACTTTAATTGAAAGAAGTGTTAGACGTAATCATAAATTGGTATGAATTTGATAATGTTGGCAAACGTGACCCTTTCAATGTTTAATCGATTCTTAATTGCGAATACTCCATTAGACGTCGCCAGATAACACAAGGAACTGCGCATCGGCCATTAGCTTCAGAAATTTGCGATAAGAATAATTGTTTCCTAATTAATATCGCACAAAAATATGTTTATCTTTCCTTTATTCGAATATTTATAGTAATCGCTTTAATTAGCTAGCTTAGCAAACTACATTACATATGACTTGTTAATTACAAAATAATAGAGATTTAACTAAAATGTATGAAATGGTTATTTCATATTATAAAAGTCAAATACTTTTTCAATACGTTGTATAACTTTTCCTGTTAACTTTTGCAATAGATTGATAAACTAAAAGCCTACCGTGTAAAACAATTTTATTATTATTAAACCTAGAGTTTCCTCAGAATAATTATAAATGAATGTAATAAATCGGTTTCATCATTAACTTTGATCTGATATAAAATATATTAACCATTTGTTTATTAATAATATTTAATACTTGTTGCACTGTTTTTCAGGTTTATTGTACTAATAGTAATAGGTATGTACCATAAACTTGAAAAACGAAATAAATCCTTAGTTCCTACCTATATCTTTCATAGCAGTAGGTACTTCTTAGATTTACTGAATTTTCGATCACGTATTATTTAGAAAATAGGTATTCTAAAGAAATATGTGTATAAAAGATAAATAATAATGTTCACCCTCTTCATTCCGTAGTTATTTTTATGGCTTCAGCTTCCCTTAACGTTGGTCATCGACACCGAAATAATAGGGAGACTTATGTCCATGTATCACTAATTAACTAAAGTATAAGTACGAAACTCAAATTATTCTACTTTTTATTGCTATCATTGGTGGAATGAGAAAACCCTTTATTGTATTGTATATATCATTGTATTGTATATAGGTCATCATTTAAGCTAAAACGATTTTGGCCTCTAAAGCGAGATATAATTTAAATAAACACTAGCAATCTAGTATAAACTCTATATAAAACCAAGCAAGCGTATGTCACGTACACAAAACCCTCGAATGTTTCCTTATAATTTTCGACGTTTAGATAAGCGGCTAGGAGTCAAGGAAGGCATCTCTGGCGATGTTAGCGAGGACATTGCACTTCTGCCCCCCGGCCGTTTCGTCCTCACTCCCCCTGTTCGCCAGCCGAAACTTGCTAGCCAATGCTCCCGACCGGATTCTACTATTTAGTCAGAGTCACTCAACGCTTATAGTGTTTATTTGTTACAAAAAGTAGTTGAATTTGATAAAATTGAAATAATTCGAGCCATTTAGCACGTTTGCACTAACTATGCCTATGATGCATATTTTAGCAGATTAGCACGTTTCACATTATTTCTAGGATTTTTTACAACAACAAATATGTAGGTAGCTTTATCACACACTACAGTCGATTGTTTTGTATACGAGTACCTAGCTCTTGATATTTCCTACGTGTTTTGTCTAGATGCAAATTATAATTAAATTAATTTATTTTATTAAAGCGTAAACATATGATATGATCTTAGTATTTTAGGATATTAATGTAATATAACGCATATTATACTAAATAAATGAAATTGTTGCAACAACGTTCAACGTAATCACGGAACGCATGCCCGAACATTCCCGTTATTCACTATGTATGGTACATACTCTATGTAGAGACTCTGTATTCCTCTAGTAGAGTCAGCATTCATATACATTATATCCGTCCAAGTCGTATTACTTGTTAAGATATCAGCATTCTCTAGATATTTTATAATTGATATAGATACTGGTTTAATGTAAATCACAAATCAATGCATTATAATAGTTGTTGATGTTCTAATATAGGTATAAATTGACATTTGTTTTTGTATCAAATTTTTAATTTATTGTTTGGATAAGGTATATATTAGTATATAATACCTATTGGCTATTGTATGATGTATTTTTTACATCTGTGATAGACGAAATTAATCAAAAGGTAATAGATTTTAATTTAATCTATAAGAATTAATCAATTCTTTTACATTCTCAACTGTTAATTATATATTTCAAAGATCTAGATTATTAACGTATACAGTTTCGAAATCTTCATTTTTCTTATGTGAACGGTACAATAAAGAGTTGAGTTTGTCCCGTCCTGCCTCAACATGCAGCACGTTCACCTCGGACAGCGCCCCGAGTCGTGACGTCGCTTCCTGACTTCGATATTTACTTAATAATATAAATAGCAAACATAAAGAAACATAGCATTTTTCTATTTTTTGTGTTTACGTTTGGGAGATATTACAAACGTTATACTATGTTACTCTATGTTATAGACATCAACATAGTTATAATGTTACAACAATTCTGTTTTTAAAGAAGTAGAAGTGTCTATAAGAATTTTACAACATTCTAATATTAGGTATACAAAAATCAGAATGATAAGACGTTATTGTCCCACTATTGGGTCCAAGAAATATAAAGGTAGGTACCTCATATCTCTGCAAAAATATCTCATCTATTCTATGTGAAAGAAAGACAAATATTTTGGCATCGTAAAGTTAGTAAGCAGTAATTATATAATACTTTCTTAGATTTACGCGAATATTTGACATTTTAAATACAACTATCCTTTCGTATTGTTTCGCAGATTGAAACGTCGGGAACCAAAGATCAAAATAAATCCGCGTAATGATCCGAAAAGAAAGTTTTATTTAATAGTAATTATATCTGATTTATACTTTGGTCAAATATTCATATTACGATAATAAACAATTTACTCATGATAACCAAGAACAAAAGGATTATAGCGAAAGTAAATTAGTTCAATACTATTATGTTATGTCTATTGTGGAAATTTACATAACTTTGTATTATACACCTACATTAAGAACAATTCTAGCACTAAGTCTTATCGTTTTCACATAATTTTTGAAATAATTTTCACCATGTCATTACATACGTATATTTTAATGATGAAAAAAAGTTATCCTACAGGTGCTGACAGCTTAAATTGTATTGTACAAATCTACTAATATTATTTTAAAAAAAGTTTTTTTTTTGTATGTTGTTACGGATAAATTGGAAAAAACTACTGCACCAATTTTAAAAATTTTATCACCTATCAAATTATCGAGTAACGTGGGCTATAATATTAAATATTCAAAAAACAATTAGAGATCCTCACGAAAATGCAATAATGTAATCTAAGGTTTAAATTTTGCTTATAATGGTCATTATTTGGCGTGCGCTGCGAAAACTAAAATAAATAAAACAAACATTACAAATATTACAAAAAAATCTAAGAAATATTTATTACCTAACTTAAATAACAATTTAGCAAAATATGTACCTATTAACTAGGTGTACAAAGTAGTTATTGATATGCCCACGCATATTTTTATTAGGCAATTTATTTTTTATTTATGAAGGCGTGATTAATTTCAGTGTCCGATAAAGGTCAAAGGAAATTTCGACAAAATTCATACAATAATGTTATTAAAACAAAAAGTATACAATAAGGTCTAACTTCTATTTGTAAATGATAATAGCATTATCACGCTATGCAAATTGCCCTTCAAATAAGTAAATGGCTAATTAAACTAAATATTTATATGTCCACTGCAGTAAACATTGATAATATAAAATTACATCGTAATTATTTCGGAACGCACGAATATTGAAATAAAATAGCGAAAATATGAGATATTTACCTATATTATTTTTAAGGAATAACTTCTCCTCCCATTGTAAAACAAGATATTCAATTACAACAGAATCGTCATACATAATAATGATAAGATCTGTAGAAAATTAAAAACTATAGCAAGAAATATACCTACACAGGAATACGGTTTAAGAAGTAAATAAATAAATAAAATAAATAAATAAATGGCCATTGACCAGATTTCTTCTGTAAAGGTATAAGTAGGTAGGTATACATAAGTACATATAATTTCTATTAAAAAAAAAAAACAAAACCAAAAAAGTAAAATAAGCAAATGCTTGTTAATACCAATTTATTTTTAATTACAGATAGTGGAAGAATTTGAATTCAATTGATAGGTTTATTCCCAAAACGTCCCGTGTAAAGGATTAAAGGCGTTCAATTAAATATAGCAATCACCCCTGTAATTACAGCGGAGGTTTCCGTAATTACAGCTCCAATAAAAAGATCCAAGCTTCCTACTTCCCACGTAAGGGCGGACAAAACGCATGCGCGACATGTGCGCGATCCAGCTTATTACTCACCGGTAAATGTTATGAAAATATATATTATTTATATAGAGTCAAGAAGGTACTAGAAAAGAAGCTATATTAATTTTTTATGATTTCACTTTAATGAATATTATTGTACTCTCAAAACTATGCCTATTTCGTATTAATGAAAAAAAAATAGTTTGTATTCCACTCTTATTCGTCTTATTGTACGTATAATTTATATACCACCTGACTTATTGAAAATCTTCTTTTTTGAAGTCAGTTAATATATATTTCTACACCAGGTCATTCTACATACAAAATAACTACATATATGTGGTTTTTAAAACCCGCATTGATATAAAAAAAAATAACAATTAACGTATTTAAACTATTCTGAATATTATAAGCTCTACATTTCGATGCCCAATAAAGTAATGTAAAAAACATATCGAAGTTCCGGCTGCATCTAAGACCTGCGGGCTGCGACAACTGAGTTATTTTAGGTGACACCTCGGGCTTTTGAATTAATTGATCTCATCTCGAGTTACACGAATTAACTCTAATTATATCCATAATTATTATTAAGATTTGATTAATTTCTATATAATATAATAGTCTAGTCAACAAGTGCCTTTTAGGTCAACTTTTTTCAGCAATGCTTGCGCAAGTCAGAGCAAGCGTTTTAGGCTGTTTTTTCATCCCTGTGAGAAAATTATAAATATTGGCCCTACAGTTCTGGGAGTTAGATCTTTATTTAGGAAACTTCCTTCTATTTTTTAATCCTTTTTTAGATTTAAAAATTCTCAATTAGTTTTTCAGATGTTTGTAAAAAACTAAACCAGTTTTTTTATTTTTAGTTAATTCCTTATAACTTTTGCAATTTTTGCAAGAGAAAGTTGTTTTTTTTTTAAAAACATTCCATTCCGAATCGAATGACACCTGGCTGATATTTTTCCGAGACTGCTGAAAAAAGTTGACCTAAAAGGCACTTGCTGACTAGACTATAAGTAATAGGTATAAGTATTTAGTATAGGAATATTTATTGTACTTAACCGTTTTTAAAATAGCATATACAAGGTAGATATTATCTGAAATTATCTTATGATGGTTTCAGGAATACTTACATATGTTTATACTAAGTAAATTTTTTTATGATAATTTCAAAGTTAATGAATCTTAAGTATCAGTTCGACATTTAGTCTCAATAACATGCAGGAAAATAAAGTCAATACAACCTTTACATAGAGTAAGAACAAGGATCACTTGTACCAATATTTGTCATTTGCTAAAATTAAAAAATGTTTAAATCTAATTGTAAGAATAGTTGACTTTCTAAGGAGGAACATACCTACTCGTATATTTAAAATAAAATATATATGTCATGAAACGTATTTAGCCTTGAATGCAAAATGAAAATCGAAGATAGTGACTTAAAAAAACAGAACTATATAAAGGAAATCGTCATTTAAAAGCATGTCACGTCGATCATTGAACTTTATTGTATTGAATTGCGAAACAAGTGATTTTGTGTTAATATGTAAGTAGTGTTTGTTGAATAGAAATCGCGATATTAATGCCAAAGTGACACGGGGGTCGATTTCGTTTTATGTTAATACTTGTAACACTTGAACTTTATTAATGCATATGTTGCACTCAAGTATAATCTTAATTGTGTATATTTGTATAAAAGTAATGCAATTTATTCAAATTAGCTTATCATAACGAAAGAATAAGCAAAAGAAAAAAGTTAAATCATTTTTATACGTGTTTTAGGTATATATAACATATTATATCATTGTTGATTTAAAAAAAAATCGAATAAATTTCAGTCTGTCTCGCACACAGAGGTATCCGTAACATGAAACATTGAAATAAGTTTATAAGTGTAATTTTTTTTGTTATGTTACTGTAAATTTACGGTTTCCAGATTCTTCCTATATTTGTGCTATAAATTGCTTCTTGCCAAACTTCATGATTTTGAGCCAACAGGAAGTCTCTATAGGTTTCGATTCCCTAATGAGTGTCATAAAATG